ACCTTTTAATTAAATAATATAATATGTTTTAAAACACTGTAATTAACATGCAAAGAACGACATTTTTAAATCTATGACGCTCAGTACCTCCATACAAACTGGGTTAGAAAAACAAATAAAAAATGAACTTTATCAGAAGAAGAATAAGAGATTACAAAAAACAAAATAGGTTGTTTTCTTACAGCCAGATTGGTTTGGATATGGTAGTTTAGTTTCACTGAAACTAAACCTATTAAATTATTTTTGCAGACACCACATTAAATTTTTAAAGATCGTTTAAAACTATATAATGAATCAAACATTATATTCAAGAGTACTAAGAATCATACCTATATTAGAAAAAAAAACACATAAATTTTCTTAAAAAATTGCATCTGTAAAACATTTTATTTATAGTAATCTGAAAAGGTACATTGATAGATTATCAAGAGTTGTGTTTTGTTTTAAAATGAATATTTTCAAGAGTTGCGAGGAAAAAAAAGTTCAACCAAATACATTTTCAGGACCATTAGATAGAACCATAATAATTACAACCACGAGACTGAAATATATTAGTTTTAAAGGTTGTGTATTAATGTGAAAGGTTGAAAATACAAAATAAAATGAAAAGTTTTGTCTATTTAAAGAACTGAAATATATTAGTTTTAAAGGTTGTGTATCTTTTCATAAGAACTGAAATATATTAGTTTAAAAGTTGCATCTTTTTATTATAAATAGAATTGTGTCTTTTTATAAAAGAATTTCTATTATTGTAAAAATTCTATCTTTTCATTATAAAAAAAGTTTGTGTCTCATAAAAAATAGTTTAAAAGTATCTAAAAGAGGTTGTAAGAATTGTGTCTTTTTTTTTTTTTTTTTGTCATCCAAATTTTTGAAAGGTTATATCTCTTCAATAAAAATGAAATATATTAGTTTAAAAGTTGCATCTTTTCATTATAAAAACAATTGTGTCTCAAAAAATTAATTTAAAAATATTCAAAATAGTTATAAGAGTTGTGTCTTCTCATAATAAAAATCTACTAATTATAACAATCTTGATTAATTTAAAAGTCTGTGAATGCCAAATAAAAAAAATTGAGACTCTTAATAAAAATTTCTATTAGTGTGAAAGGTTGAAAATACAAAATAAATTGAAAAGTTGTGTCTCTTTAAAGAAATAACTGAAAGATTGTGTCTCTTAATAAATAAAATGAGAGGTTGTCTCTTAATAAAAATCACAACTAATTTTAAAGGTTGTGAATGTCAAATAAAATAAAAATTGTGTACCTTAATAAAAAACCCAATTAATTCTAAAAGTTGTGAACGTCAATCAAGATGAAAGTGAATGTCAATCAAGATGAAAGGTTGTGACTCTTAATAAAAATATCAATTAATGTGAAAGGTTGTAAATGTAAAATAAAATGAAAGTTGTGTCTCTTAATAAATAAAATGAAAGGTTGTGTCTCTTAATAAAATAAAATGAAAAGATGTGTCTCTTAATAAATAAAATGAAAGGTTGTGTGTTTTAATAAAAATACCAATTAATTCTAAAGTTGTGTATCTTAATAAAAATGCCAATTAATGTGAAATATTGTAAAGGCAAAATAAAATGGAAAGTTGTGCCTCTTTAAAAAAATAAAATGAAAAGTTGTGTTTCTTAATAAATAAAATGAAAGGCTGTGTATCTTAACAGAAATCTCAATTAATTCTAAAGATTGTAATGCCAAATAAAATAAAAAGTTGTGTATCTTAATAAAAATCTCAATTAATGTGAAAGGTTGCGAATGCCAAATAAAATGAAATGTGGAGTATTTTTAAAAAATATATTTTATGATTTGTTAAATACCCTTAAAAGTGTCTTTTAAGTAAACAAATAAATAATTAACCTTCTCTGATTATTTTTATATTTAATTTTAAAAATGGTTTGCATTTAAATTTGGCATACAAACTTTATAAAGTAGTTCCATAATTTGTTTAACACGATACACCTTGGATTGTATATTCATTTCTATAGGTGTGTAGTATTTATCATCAGGAGTCATGCCTTTCCATTTTTCAAAAAAAAANAAATAAATAATTAACCTTCTCTGATTATTTTTATATTTAATTTTAAAAATGGTTTGCATTTAAATTTGGCATACAAACTTTATAAAGTAGTTCCATAATTTGTTTAACACGATACACCTTGGATTGTATATTCATTTCTATAGGTGTGTAGTATTTATCATCAGGAGTCATGCCTTTCCATTTTTCAAAAAAAAAAAAATTGATGTTAGTGTCTATGTGCTTTCATTACCATACATATGAATGTATATATTTTTATATTTATTACAAGGTACAATAAAACTTTAAGGCTGTTTCATATACACTTCTTTTTGAGCCATCGATCCATATCATGGATCATAGTCCATAGCACCCGACCATGAACAATATGTTTACCACTCATGATGGCCCGACCTTAACTATAATGACTTGCATCCATAAGTATCAATGATATTATGTTCGTTCACTTTTGGTAACATTATGTTCGCACCCTTTCGGTGATGTTATATTCACACCTTTTTGATGAGGTTACATTCTCACCATTTTGGTGATGTTACATTCGCACCCTTTCGGTGACGTTCCATTTGCACCCTTTCGGTGACGTTACATTCACACCTTTTCGATCCTGAACTACTCGCACCCTTTTGGTGCCGAACCATTCGCACCCTTTCGGTGCCGAACCGTTCGCACCCTTTCGGTGCCGAACCGTTCGCACCCTTTCGGGCCAAACCGTTCGCACCCTTTCGGTCCCGAACCGTTCGCACCCTTTCGGTCCCAAACTGTTCGCACCTTTCGGTCCTGAACCGTTCGCACCCTTTCGATCCCGAACCGTTCGCACCCTTTCGATCCCGAACCGTTTGCACCATTTCGGTCCCGAACCGTTCGCACCCTTTCGGTCCCGAACCGTTCGCACCCTTTCGGTCCCGATATGTTCGCACCCTTTCGGTCCCGATACATTCGCACCCTTTCGGTCCCGACACGTTCGCACCCTTTTGGTCCCGACACGTTCGCACCCTTTCGGTACCAACACGTTCGCACTCTTTCGGTCCCGATACATTCGCACCTTTTCGGTCCTGCCACGTTCGCACCATTTCGGTTTCGATACGTTCGCACCTCTTGGGTCACGACACGTTCGTACCTCTTGGTTCATGACACATTTGTACCTCTTGGGTCACGACACATTCGTACCTCTTGGGTCACGACATGTTCACACCTCTTGAATCACGATACGTTCATACCTCTTCGGTCACGACACATACAAATATTATCTTCTAAAAAGTCAATATTAATATTTAAACTTATGAAAATGTATGGCAAATATGATTGTGACTATTAAAATGAAATATATGCCTTTCCAATGAAGAGTTGTCAAATATTTGATGACATCATCAATCATATGAAAAGGTTTTTTTTGGTTCATTAGATCTTAAAATCAAGTTAACTATGACCATTGGATTAATTTTTTTTTTTCCTATAAAAAAATGTTGATGTCACTTTCAGTTTGTTATTATATATAGATATGTTATTTGGAAAAAGTTTTTAAAAAAACTAAATATAAATAATAATCTTAAAATCTAACAATTCATTAAGGGTATTTATGTAATCAACCATCGTGAAGGTTAACGTGAGCGCGACACGTAGGAAACTGACTTCTCAAATAATATTATAGAGATATCAACTTGTCGATATATACATGCACAAGGAAGCTGACTTGTTGGTCATGGTATTGGTTATTGAGGGTGATCAAGTCCGTTTGCCGGTTTACATTCGCCCATCTTTTCAATATGCACAAGATGATTTTGGTAACGCAATCTTTTCCAAAATATAAGTATTTTTGTGTCAACGCCTAATCCAAATACAAGTAGTCCTCAACTCCTCATGTCTAAAATAAAAAGAAAGTCAAAAGACAAAATAGATAGATGCTTTGCACAAGCGTTTAGTTTAGGTTCTTAAATTGATGGTTAGGCACAATGTCTACAAAGTGCTAATCACAAATATAAGAAAAAGTCGTGCCATCTCACCTTTGTTCATTTCTTTAAATGAATTAGCTTTATTTTTTTTCCCATCTGAACCAAGCGTTTGCCATCGCTGATAAATTGTGAATATGGATATATCCATTGGTTATATAAGTGATGGCTTTTGCTCGGTTAGATCATAGGGAGACTGAGAGTTGATTGTTTGTTTTTCGTATTATCAGTCCTTCACATTACTTCTTGGATCTTCGCGTTTCAAATTGAGATTGTAGGCCTTCGATCTTCTCATTAAGCTCGGCATAAAGTTTATGTAAGTTGATTGATTTCCATCGACTTGTGCTTTTTTTTTTTTTCAAGGAGCTCTTACAATAGTATGATATATTGATTTACTAAGTGGTTCGAAGATTGTTTAAATACGATGGCTTGTGCTCATGGACTTTGTCATCTAGAGCTCGTGGAGTAAGAGCATGATTAACCCAGAATTCTTAAGATGTGGTTTTAACAGATGTTAAGAAACTGTTTCTTAATTTCCACTAAAAATCTCATCCTAAGAATTCTGAATTAATTATAGTCTAAGTGTGTGTTATCTTTTCAAGGCCTTGGCCTCAAATGTGTTGTCCGCTGTTTTCCATAGTCACGTCCATTTATGTTACAGAGTTTGCTAGCGTTTCTCTTCTGTAACAATGTTTTTCAATGTATTTCGATAAATTGATAACTTAAAATGCTGAATTTATTAAATTTGATATACCACATGTTATGCCAAAGAAAAGATCATAAAACCGAGGGCTCCGGTAATCAGTTGTCCGGTGTAGGTGGGCTCTGACGTGGCGGAGTCACTTTGTCATAGGAACACGTCACGTGTCTCCACGTTGGACGCAGCAGAAAATATTTTCTATATTGACTAAAATACCCTTCATACCAAACACCACCCAAGCCCAAAGACTTTTGAAACGCTTCTTTCATGTCGAGTTCATTCTCTCCTTGAAACTCTGCATCTCTCCCCTCTATCGTTCTTCTGACCACTCCCAAACATTAACACCACTATTGAGATGATAAGTTAATCGTCCTAAAATATTCTAATAGTGATGACATCATCTGCAAAAGCATTACAACCTTCGTCATGTTTCTTGAGGCACGGTCACAATCCGATCGCAAACAGGACAACCCTTTTGAGTTTCGGGTTCCGTTCCCGACATGATCAGATTCGTTGTGAGAGTTTACGTTCCTCGTCGGAAAGTCATGTTACAAAAAGAGGTGAGGCGGTGGTGACGGCGGCGAAGAAGAGACATCAATCACCGGAACGATGCGCGGCGGAGGGGATACTGATCGGAGGAGGAGAGATGGAGGTGGTAAAGGAGGTGGGGACGTTGATACCGGAGAGGATGAAAGTAGTGATGTTGACGGCGTGCATGATGTGTCTTTGTAACGCCGACAGAGTTGTGATGTCTGTAGCGGTGGTTCCACTCGCCGAGAAACTTGGCTGGTCGAGTTCTTTTCTAGGGGTAGTTCAGGTATTTTCTTAATCTCCTATAATTAACTCCTCCTAATTACATTCTTGATCCGCGAATCAGTAAGAGATCAACATTATTTTACAAAAATGAAGATATCAAGATTTGGTTTCCCCAAATGTGGAAACGTATTTAATATGAGACCAGATTTTACTCGTTAAAAAGATATAATATGACATTTTCACACATTAAAAAATAAGTTGAAAAAAATAAAATAAAAATCTAAAAACTGTAAAACACTATGAAACCATTGAAAATATTAGGTGGTCCAAGAAAGAATCGGTTGCAATCAAGAATTTAAAATGTTGATATATCCCCTATATATTAATTGAGAAACATTTGAAAAGATGTAACCTCAATTTTGTAAAAATTAAAAAGACTCCTTGCTTATGTGTCAAGCAATTAGATAATTAATTAATCTTACGTGTCAGCCTCGCATTCAAATTGAAAAATATGTTGGTCCAATTCAATTTTTATATCTCACTAGAAACATTTAATACTATAAAGCAAAGTGTTATATCATATGATATTAATTATTTAATTTTCTTTCCTTAAATAAAAACGACAGAATTACCAAATAAGGCTAATACATAAATGATAATTAACGATTCTAATAATAAAGATTTGATAATAATCTATATCTCCTCCATCATTTTATCTAACTTTATATCATTGAAATAAAGTAAACAATTCAATTAGTTATAAAATTAAAATTTAGATTTTTTCGTATATGATATATTTTGAATTTAAAAAAACGGCAATAAATTACTAAAACTGTTAAAATTGTTATGTTAAAAATGAATGATCAAAAGTGTAACATCCCTTATATATTAATTTAGAAAATATTAATGGTTCTTAGTGATTTTAAAATAAAAGATTAAAAAAAGTTGTTGAACATGTTTTTCTTTCGTGCTTCTGTTTTGTTTTTTATTTTCATTTTCAAAATTTAGAGCTTTGATATTAATTCTAGATTTTATTATTTTATTAGATGATAGAAACATTTTTTTTTGTTTTTAATTATTTTATTTAAATATATAATATTTTTTAATAAATGATTTTTTGACAACATGACTCTAAATTCGTATAATATATGATATGATCTCAAACTAAATATTTATACTTTTTGGTATAAAATGGAATAAAACAAAAACCGACGGTATATAAACTGAAATACCTTTTTATTTTGAAACACACTAACCGAAATACCAAAAAAAAAAAACAGAACCAAACCAAAATAAATCGATATCCGGATTGAATACCCCAATCCAAATAAAACCGAACTATTGTTTCATTATCCAAAACATAATGATAATAATAATTTCATTCCGCGCAAGGCGCGGGTCTTATCCTAGTAATAAAATAAAGTAGTTGTTGAGAACAATGGTAGGTGCGTTTAGTTTGAGCGGCAAGCAAATAAGGCTTGACCTTATGTGAAAGCGAGACTTTATCCACCAAAACGTTTATGGTAAGGGTCACGTCGGCTTCCCTTTTCTTTTGAGTTTTTTTTTTGGCTTTAAACCCAAAAATCCAATTCTTCTTCATTTGATGTAGGAAATGCAAACTAAAATTTTAATCTCAAATACGTACATTTCTGTATTTGTTAGAGCATTAGCATCGTTGAGTCTTTAAAATAATCTTTTACGGTTTTACGAAATTTAAAAAACTAAATAAAGAAAAAAAAAAAAACTGAATCGTCTCTTATCTAAGAAACTATTAAAACATCGTGAAAAACTTTTTCAACATATTGACAACTTCTAATGGTTCATAATTATTTTATATTTAAATCTATTGATGAGAAACTATATAAGTTTTTCAACAACATAATGATAATCTAATTAGTGAACCTTTTTTTTTTTGTAAACTTGACTTTCTTGCTAACCGCAACCAACAGAGCGAGTCCTTGATCAGTTGCTTTCGTTTCTTCTCTATGGTGCTTATCAAACAGTCCTAACCTGGAGCTTATATAAAAGAAACCAATCTAGTGATCAAGGTTTAGCTAACAATAACGTATTAGGTTTTGACTAACACTAACGTATTAGTTTTTTTTCTTCTAATATGGATTGAAATTCATTTATCTTGCAGTCCTCCTTTTTATGGGGTTACATATTTTCATCGGTTATTGGAGGAGCATTGGTGGATCGTTATGGAGGAAAAAGAGTATTGTCTTGGGGAGTCGCATTGTGGTCTTTTGCCACTCTACTCACTCCATGGGCAGCTGCACACTCGACCTTAGCCTTATTGTGTGTCCGAGCCTTCTTTGGTCTCGCTGAAGGTGTTGCAATGCCCTCCATGACTACTCTTCTCTCTCGGTAATATACCTTTTAGCAACATACTTTCTGAAAAAACTGAAAATGTTTTAAACTTTTTAAAAACTATATTGGTGGTATTTGACTCAGGTGGTTCCCTATGGATGAACGAGCAAGTGCGGTTGGTATATCAATGGCAGGGTTTCACATGGGAAATGTCGTGGGACTTTTGTTAACTCCGCTCATGTTATCTTCTATTGGAATCTCTGGTCCTTTCATTCTTTTTGCGTCCTTAGGTCTATTGTGGGTGTCAACTTGGGCAAGCAACGTTACAAACAACCCACATGACAGTCCTTTCATCACTAGGTCAGAGCTGAGGCAAATCCAGGCTGGAAAACCGGTTCATACACCAACCAGTTCAACCAAGCCTAACCCATCTTTGCGTCTTCTTTTGTCAAAGTTGCCTACTTGGGCCATAATTTTCGCTAACGTGACTAACAACTGGGTGAGTTTGAGTTTGATAGTAGTATATATCTTTGTTATGCCTTGTCTTTTTTTTTATTTTTTGTAATAAACTCATAAGGTTTTGGTTAGTTGTTCACAGGGATACTTTGTTCTTCTTTCATGGATGCCTGTTTACTTCCAAACAGTAAGTAATGATTATTCTATGTTTTGACTCAAACATGAACTGAAAATATGGTATTCACAGGTGTTTAACGTGAACTTGAAGCAAGCAGCTTGGTTCAGCGCTCTTCCATGGGGGACAATGGCGGTCTCAGGTTACTTTGCTGGCTCAGCATCAGACTTCTTGATCAGAACTGGTCACTCTGTGACCTCTGTCCGAAAGATCATGCAGGTGATTATTACAAGTTCAACACTTGGTTAAACTAAGGCCGTCCCATATGTTTTAACTTCACACATTACGGATACTTTTGTTCAGTCTATTGGATTTATGGGTCCGGGGTTGTCTCTGCTCTGCCTCAACTACGCAAAATCACCTTCTTGCGCAGCCATTTTTATGACCATTGCATTGAGCTTGAGTTCCTTTAGCCAAGCTGGGTTTCTCCTCAACATGCAAGTACGTTAATAACAAGTCTTAGCATGCACCCTTTTTGGTTAATCTTGAATCTCACAACATTGTTGGTTTCTCTTTGTGAGAACAGGACATTGCACCAGAATATGCTGGTTTCCTGCACGGTAAATGTTAATTATATGGTGAAAATTTTGCTTCTTTCCTTTTAAAATTGTTTCTTGCTTAAAAAGTTAGGGTTTTTTGGTATTTGGTGTGGGAGGCAGGTATTTCAAATTGTGCGGGTACATTGGCTGCGATCGTAAGTACAATAGGGACGGGCTATTTCGTGCAGTGGCTTGGCTCTTTCCAGGCGTTCTTGACGGTAACGGCGTTTCTTTACTTTGCAACCACCGTGTTCTGGATCCTCTTTGCCACCGGAGAACGAGTCTTTTAGATCCAAAAGGTTTTCTTTTTAAACTTATAGGGCAATATGATACAAGAAAAGAAAAGAAAAACTTTTTAAACTTATAGGGCAATATGATACAAGAAAAGAAAAGAAAAACTTTTTAAACTTATAGGGCAATATGATACAAGAAAAGAAAAGAAAAACTGATGAAATATACAAATGATTGTTTCTTGCTTTGGAAGTTAGAATATATATTTGTTCTCGTTCTTTTTGGTTTGTCTCCTGGTTTTACATAATCATGTAATAAAAACTAAGAATCCCATTGGATGGTCTAATAAGAGAAAATAATGATGTTCATACTCATTGTAAATTGATTACAAAGGATGAGAAAGTTCATGGATACAGAAAGTCTTACTTCAGAGCAAGTTAAAAGATAATGCTAACGTAAAAGTTCGGTAATTACTAATATGTCATTGAAACTTCTGTTAAACATCAACACTATATGGGTAAAAACTTGATTTAAGAGTGTTGGACTCTAATTAAAAACTCTTATATGGTATATGCCACAATAAGGAACATAAAAATGAATTTCGAAAATGGAAATGAATGGGATAAAAATGACTGAAATATAAAAATAGAATAATAAGTTTTATTCTTTTTTCGATTAAAAAAAAGTTTTATTCATTTCTCATCAAAATGATGGTAAAATATTTTTGGATTTTTTTTATTTTCTAATAGAATTATGGAATGATCATTCCATCTTTATTCAAAGTAAATATGTTAAATCAATGGAATAAGCTATCCATTTTCCACATCATTGTCAATCAAATATATTCATGAGTGAATGACACTATAGCCCCTAGATTTTATCTCAAAAGGACTATGTAGCTAAATGGTAAAAAAGATTGGATTTACCAATTAGTGAAAGCTGTGGTAAGTTAAAAAAAATAAAAATATTACAAAATTGTGTGTCTTTATGGAAGCTGAGCTGTATTCGTATTGATCGACTCTGCACGGAGAGATCTGATTCTTTCCTCACATCACCAAAATGGAAGAGATCTCCGATCAAAACTTCTTCCGCTACTGCCTCCTAACCCTAATTTACTCCGGCCCACCCACCGCCATCGCTCTCAAATTCCTCCAAGCTCCTTACGGCAAACACAACCGTTCCGGATGGGGTCCCACTTTATCCCCTCCCCTCGCTTGGTTCCTCATGGAAAGCCCCACCTTATGGCTCACTCTCATCCTCTTCCCCTTTGGCCGCCACTCTCACAATCCCAAATCTCTCCTCCTCATCTCCCCTTACCTCCTCCATTACCTCCACCGCACCATCATCTACCCTCTCCGCCTCCTCCGCAGCTCCTCGAGTAAAACCGCCTTCCCGATCAGCATCGCCGCCATGGCTTTCACCTTTAATCTCCTCAACGCCTATGTCCAGGTAACGATCGTATCTGATTCCGGTCTGGTTTTAGTAAAACTATACCGGAACATTTTCATTTTATACCGGTTTAATTTTACTATACCGGGAGATTTTATTTTATACCGGTTTAAATTTAACAATTCTTTTGGTTTGTTCATGTTCCAGGCGAGGTGGGTTTCTCATTACAAGAACGATTACGAAGACGGACAGTGGTTCTGGTTGCAATTTATCGTTGGTACGGTGATTTTTATAACCGGTATGTGGATTAACATCACATCGGACCGGACTTTGGTACGATTGAAGAAAGAGAACCGGGGAGGTTATGTGATACCGAGAGGAGGCTGGTTCGAGTTAGTTAGCTGTCCGAATTACTTTGGAGAGGTGGTTGAGTGGTTGGGCTGGGCTGTAATGACTTGGTCTTGGGCCGGTATTGGATTTTTTCTATACACGTGTTCCAACTTGATCCCGCGCGCACGTGCGAGTCATAGATGGTATAGTGACAAGTTTAAGGACGAGTACCCCAAGACTCGCAAAGCTGTTATTCCTTTTGTGTTTTGACAATTTTCAGTTACCGGTTTAGTTCTCTTAATGTTGGTTTGTTGTTCCGGTTTAGTTCTATTTGTGTTGGTGTACTTCAAGATTGCAAAACTGTGTATCATTTTAGACCAATCTAATTAATAATATATAGAAGGTTTGAACAGAAGAGACAAAGCTAGTGTTCTAATGAAACAAGACATATCAAATAACTGTATTACTTCTATTAGTAGTTATGTTTACCAAATGGAGAATGCGTGTGTAATACGCTATAATTACTTTAGGTTTAATTTTCATACAACTACAAAGGCGCTAGAAGAACCAGAGAAGCTTGTAATGGAACCAAACAGCGATTTCGAAGCTCCATAATGTCTTAATCTGTAAACTCCAGCCACCGCAGTTTCCGGTATCCTCCACTCCACCGTGGCTTGACTCTCAGGGCTAAGCTTCACCTCTCTCGACCACTTAAACTTCACACTGAAGTCATCATCGTCGTACACCGGGACCCACTTCCCTCCTTCACGCAGCGTCTCCACCACAGCGAAAGATCCTTCCGTCATCAGGTCGTTTCTTGGACATCCCGACCAAAACGTCGCGTTGACTTGTTGACCTCTCCTGAACGTTGACTTGGGAGGCACGTCTGCTTTAACGTCACCGAAGCTGACTCCTAAAGGAGTAGAGTCAACGACCACAGGGGCTAGTAAACTGATCTGTTTGTCTAGAAGATCAGGCGGTTGGGGCCCACTCGGGAGTGTTTGACCGTTGACTAAAGCTGTGGCTAGTTTCTTGAACTCTTGGATGTAAGCGGTGAGTGTGTGTGGACCGTATAGCGTTGAAGCTCCCTCGTAACGTTGAACCTCGTACTCTTCGTAAGTGGTGATGTACTGAGAGTAAGTGTTGGTGAGACCTGCGATTACGACGTGGAGGTTGTTGCTAAACTCCTTGCTGTCCAATGAGATGAGAAATGATTTCACAGCGTCACGGAGACGCCTTCCAGCCATTGTTGTGAACTCTGTGTATAATAGATTCAGACATCAGTGTTTTGATCAGTTAAAGTATACATTAGAGATTGTCATTGACATACCTCCAGGGACACTGAGGATGACTAGTTGACCAATGCGAAGCATCTGAACCGGTAGAATTGAAGGCTGCACGGTTCACACAATTAACAAAATGTCAATAATCTATAGCTTCGAATGTTTTAAAAACCGGTCTAGGCAGTGATTTGGGCTCAGATAGTCATACGACTCAAATCAGTTTAAACCGTTCTAAATCCATTAAAAAAGTTTAAATTAATCAGTGTAAAACTAGGTGGTTTAAATTGATTAAAAAAGTTTAAATCAGTCTAAAACTAGGTTCCACCTAGACCCCAAATAATCTAGTCGTTAATGCTCTACAAAGCAGCTAATCTTCTACAAAGCGGCTAATTACCGCCTAGCTATATTTTGAACATGATTCAAATACTTAAAATCAATTTTCAGGAAAGATATGATAGAGCAACTCACCGCCCAGTCATATGGTGTCTTCATCTCACCAGTGTCAAGTAAAATAGGTTTTGGTTTCTGACACTGAACCTGTTCCGGACCAGGAGTTCTCAACACATTCCTCACTAATCTCCAAAAGGCATTCCCCTTAAACAAAGCAGATTCTTTTCATTAGAGAAATGAAAGATTCAAACAAAGATGATAGTCTTATATAAGAAGCTTTAGTTAGATACCTTATCATCTCCTTGTTTGAAATCAAAAGCACCAGGACCATCAGTTGTACCAGCAGCAAAACCAAACCCCATTGCAGCTGGACATGTCTTCACCGTCTCATAACCACCTGGTTTAGGTATAGTGACTTCAAGCTTTGAGAAATCTACATAAGCATGTTGGTAACCAACTTTCCCTTGCAGCTTCTCTGTAGCTTTGTTAAATAATCCCACCGCCATTTTGAACTGCTTCTCTCCGATGATACGTGTACTCTCAAACTCATCAGGGTATCCTGGTCCACGACCATAGCAGAGTTCGTTCTTACCATTACAAGTACTGTGATTGAAATCACAAGGTAGTCCAGTGTCTATGCAAAAAGCTCCAAGAGTGTTTGGACTCACATCACCACAGTTTGATTGACAGAAAGCAGAGACAAATGTACGCTTTGAAGCTTTCCTTACTCTAACTTTAGCATCAAGAGACTGTCCTTTAGATGACTTATAAGAAGCTGCAATGTCCAAAAGCCTGCTGTCTGAAAATAGAAGTTACTTGTGTCATAGACTTGCCACGTTAGGTAAGTAACTAAAGGAAAGTAGTTTTGACTTGACTCACGGTTTGTGTTCAGATCAGAAACAATGGTTGATACTCTCCTAGGGATTTTATATGTCATCTTCTGACCATTCTCAAACCAGTCCTCCATGAAACGTGCAGCTGCGCCTTTGTTATCACCACTGATCAAAGAGTTAGTCCTGCTCATGGAAGTCCCATGAGTTGCAAACCAGTTAAAGCTTCCTATAGGACCCAACTTCGAATCAACAAACTTGAGTAGAGTCATTTCTTTATCAACGTTGTACTTATATCTACTCCTCTCAGCTTCAGGGTTGTTGAGGTAAGAGCTAGGACTTCTGTTCACACCAGCATCCAAAAGATCACCTAATCATCAACACACACATACACAAAATGATTAAACTAAAGCAAGAAACTCTGTTCGGTAGAGAGGGTTTTACTTTACCTTTGTTGATATAGACAGAACCAGGACGTAGACTTTGGTGAGCTAGGATGATGGTTTGTTCAATGCCATCAACAAGGACGTCAAAAGACTGACGAACAAAGCCAAGAGAGGTGACAATGTAAGTAACATACTGAAGATAACCTCCTGGTCCAGCATGAGTGTGAATCCCACTTATAGCTACATTCTTCTCTGTGTAAAGATCACCATATCTACAAAAAAAAGGAACAAGACTCTGCCTATTAAGATTCTACAAAACACTCTGCTTAAAGATCATTCACTCTAAAGATAAATAATATTTGACCATACCTTGCCTTGAGTCGCTCGAGTACTTTGATGGTAACGATTTGAGAAGCCATACACGCGTCAAGATTCACAAACGCGACGCGTTTGCCTTGAGGCTCAGCGACGATGAAGGCACGAGCTCGGAGACGGAAGTGGATCCCTGAGGCTGTTTGTTCGGAGTTTGCGTATCCCATCATGTTGACGTCAGCTGCGGGACCAGTGATGTCATAGCTTCCAAGACCGATTAAATACTCTGAAGACGAGTAAACAGCTCTGTCTAGAACAAGAAGAAGAAAGAATAGAAACTGAAATGGCACTGAGACAGCCATGGTTTGGAGAGCTTGAAGGAAGTAAAGAAGAAGTGGAGAAGAGAATAAATAGATTGTGGATGTTAAAGAAATTCAGAGGAGAAGTGAGTGTGGACGCCATGAAGATGAGTGGGAGAGAGAATGTGTGTAAGAAAATTCAAAATGTGGACAAGAGCGGATGTCGGTTAGTGCTCCACCTTATAGATCCTACACTCTGTCAAAGTAGAATAATGGTTTGTTTTGTTTTAAAAGATAAGTTGATGATGAGATGTCACCATGTGATAGGCTTTAACTTACATACAATACATATACATCCATGTGAATGTGTTGTTTGTTTTCATAGACTTTTCCTCCTTTGTGGTTTTTTCTTGGTAAACACTTAATTCTCAAAGACTTGCATTTAATGTGCAATAATCAATCATCCCAGAGTCAATCTTTGTCTTACACGTGCTTTCAAGGTTGTGGTGGGTGAAACCCTCAACCGTTTCACACGTAGCACATTATGACACGACCTATCCGAGGATCCGACCAAAGTCTACCAGACAAGAAATATCAAAGTTATGTCTATTTAATCAATTTTGGTTATTGAGAAGCACAAAGAGTACTGAGAGAGATTTATAATCCATGGATAATCAAGTGAGAGAAGCTTTAACACAGACAATGCCTTGTGAGAGAAGCTTTAACACAGACAATGCCTTGTGAGAGAAGCTTTAACACAGACAATGCCTTTCAATCTGAACCTAAGTAATGGCATTTAGACCTGAGATCGCAGTTTCATAGTGTGAAAGATTGCTCTTCTAGATCTGTGTTGTTTAGAAAGATTTAAATGTAACATAAATAGAAAGAGTATTCCCCTTAACAGATACAAAACACAAAATTTGTAGAGACTTTTTGTTGTTATGAGATAAGCGACAAGTAAAACAAGGTGGAGAGTGTCTCTTCACTTAGCTTTGTTGGCATAAGGCTTCTTTTTGGTGATGTCTTTCTTAGCTTTCAACTTGTCTGATCTTCCAGACTTCTTTTTCTCCTTCTTGTCATTGTACATGTCTATCGCCTATATCACAATTCAATTCAATTGATTAGTATCACAGAAGAAAGAGACCAAAACCAAAGAGGAGAGAGCTGAGAAGTTTTTTTGTGGTTTTACCTTTCCAACATTGAGGATCTCATGTGAATGCTTTGACAATAACTTGCTAAGTACTTTATTAGTCTGTTCCTTTTCCTCATCCACCTCTCCATAGCGTGGTAAAACTGGTAAATACTGTAAAAACATACAAATTAGAAAGAACGATAAATTAACTAAAAGATAAAAGGTAAAACTATCTGTGAATTTACCTTGTGATGTTTGCCTTGCTTCTTAGGAGGCTTCTCTCCAGGCAACTTTTTATCGAATTTTCCACCACTAGCTGTTGAAGTAGCGGCTAAACCTGCTACATCTCCAAGTGCCTCTTTTCCAAGTTTCTGTGGCTGAGTTTTGGTGCCTGATATGGGCAATGCGGTTACAGCTAGTTGGACATGGCTGCCAGTAAACCATTTGGAGTTTCAGTTAATCAAAACTATGAAAACAGGTCGTGTGATAGTATTAACTTTTAATACTAATCGAATAAGTTGTTATGTACCTTGGTAAAGCACCAGCTTTAGCAGCTGTCTTGAGATTCTGTAGTCGGTTCTTTTCTTGCTTACCAACTCTCTTCTTTTTATCATCCAGTCTCTTGGCAAAAGGATCTTCACCTGGCTCTGCAGTTAAGCCAAAACAACTTGTAAATACAACTCTTTATCATTGTCGTAGAGATTAGGTACTTTGAAAACAAAGATAAGATTGTTATTTATGCAAGACATACCATCTGATGCCTTTGCTTCAATAATGGGAATATCATTATCATCGTTAACACGGTCGTAACCATGGCGACGCTTAAACTTATCAGTTGTTTCGTCGTATACAATCTTGTCCTTCTTCCGCTTTTGTATACCTAAGAAAGAGAGCCAAAAACAATTTGGAACAGAATAAACATTAGTATCACAGAACAAAGAGGTCGTTGATCCGTCAAAACAAAAACAAGCTTTAAATCCTAAAAACAAGATCTCAAATCAGCTTTATACCTTTCTTGAGAGCAAACTCTTCCCACTTTGTAGGAGGCTTAGGCCTTGGAAGCTGGTAGAGAAAAAGGAGAAGAAGGTTAGCATGATGCTTATAGTTCATTCAAAAGACTCTCTATTTACTGTTCTGTCTTTTGGAAAAAAAGCTCATAAGAGAAACCACACTCGTTTGCATCTCCAAAACAAACATACGCTCATTCACTTCACAAACTAAATAAGCCCATTCTATAACAACATCTATCAGGTATAATGTCTAATGAAGCTGAAGATATTGAAGAGTACAAAAAAAGAAGAAGAGCTTACATGCTTCTCTCTCGGAAGTTTAGTTGTAGGAGGAGGCAACTGAACAAGAGGGCCATCATTAGTTTCAGTAGAAGGAAAGTTGAAAAGAGTATCAGCTATCGCCTGAACCAGCTTTGTTCCCTCTGTAACACATTCCTTCACAAGCTCCTCTCTGCAAAAAAAATTAGAGAAACCAGACATCAACCAAAAAGAAACAGAACAAAAAAAAAGAAACTATCAACAGAGACAGGTAACTTCAGCACTGTTCCCTAATTTACAAAAGATTGTAACTGAGAAAGATGCCAAACCTCTTTGATTTGTATTATGAATGCAAAACATATAACCAGAAATAAACATGAAAACAGGGTTTATGTTACACCAATTCAAACTCAAACTTTCACAAGCGAAAGGTAACAACTTTACAAGAAAAATGCAAACTTTACTTCTCTTTGTAAGCATATAAACTCATAACTAATCAATTAAATCAAGAAATAAGATAATCACATGAAACAAAATCAAGCCGCCGCCAAAGAGAGCTCAACAAGAGCTTCACGGAAAAAAAAGGACGAACCTTGAAGAAGGGGCAGAAGGGAAACGGTGGTTTGGATTGAAAGCGAGAAGATTTCCGACATCGATCTGGTAGATTTGGTCAGTCTCCATGTCCATGTCTTCTCGTGTTTGGAATTTGAGAGAGTGGAGGAGGAAGGAAAGAGACTTTCGTTTGTGTGTTAGGGTTTTGCGATATTTTTTTGAGTTAAACCTAATATCTCTCTCTCTCTCTCCCAATTTTAAATAAGAGGTGTCAATTGTCCAACATATCCTTTCTATCCCTATACGATGTTCGTTTAACCGAACCGGTCTGAACCGAACCAAATCAAAAGAATCGGCATGACACCTGAATTGAATTTTAATACTGTTCAATAGATTTATTTTTCCTATGATTGAAAACTAAAAAGGGAAAACTTAACAAAATCAAAAATGAAAAAAAACTAATTGAAAACCTTTTTTTTTCAACTAAGGTGGGGTATTCAATTTAAAAATTCACCTAAAGTTGAAAGATGTGTCTTTTAAATTATTCTATTATTCAATTATGTATTTCATTGATTCTTTTAAATTATTATGTTCTTGGATTATGTATTTAAAATCATTCTACTCAAATATTTTAAATTATTGTGCTACTCAATTCACTAAATTTTCTAATTCTATTAAATATTTGTGTTATTCGATTTTGGTAGATTTTATGGTAACTGTATTTTAAAATAATTTAATGAAAAAATAATCATAAAATGTAAAGAATCAATTATTAGGATTTTAAGCTGGAGAATAATTTATATAATTCATTTCTTAGATATCTACGTCAAATTTATTTGTAAGATATATTTGAAAATTAAATAATGTTCGTTGTCCATTAAAAAAATATATTATCGTTTTGACGAACTGACAAAAGTATATCATTTGTTGTAATTCCTACCATAACGGAGGAACAAAAAAAAATTATACTCCAATATAGTTTTATCTCTGCGGTAACTAGTACTCAAGTTTATCTCTACGGTAACTAGTAATGGGTTTGAAAGGGTTTGCGATTTAAGATGAACTACACTTCCTCTCTTATAAATTTTAGTGGGTTTTTCAATATGTTCTTCTGCATCATTAGATTGTAAGATTCTCAATGGCATTAGACTTATTTGTTTGGTCTTGATAACATTATGATTTTACCGAGTTTATGATGTGAGATGGCTTTTTTATAAGTTTACTTGCTACTTGTTCATCATTGTGAGCTTATTGATAAGTTATGAGTTTACTTGCGCTATGATTTGATTGTTTGTGATAAGTCATGAGATGAGTTGTGTTCATGAGATGGGTTTGCTTCTGATCTTAGACTGGTATCTATTGTGTATACTTAAACGAGATAACTACTCTTGTTCTTTCTTGTTTCATGATGGATAACGAGGATTCATTGAACTTGAACGATGTAAAATATTTATGAGAGAAAAAAAAGGATTAGGTATCTTGGGGGTCACGTGATATGAATAGGTAAGCTCAAGATGAAGAGGATGAAGCAGTATCTATGGAGAATTCTCTCATGAGCACAGCTGAAACTCGCGTCAAAAGAAGAGGTAAACGCAGAACTTCTAAATGTCTGAAGCACTTTAATATAATAGTAGATAAATATCTAGATGGTACAAATGACGTCTAGTGCAAATTTTGCAAGCGCAACTATCACTTTAGCCTACGTATGAGTGAAACCACAGTTCTTTTACGTCATATGAAAGTATGTAGCTTGAACCTTGTCCCTAGCACACCTAATATATAATTAATTGGGTATTTATCATCTTTTGTTACTTGAGATTTTATTTCACTTTTAAAATGTCTTTCTTTATTTATATGGTGTAGAAATGATTATGGTTTTATTATTTTTATCAGTAAAGATTTTGATCTTTCTTTGTGCATTTTTTAATTCAAAATTTAAAAAGTTCATGAAAATTAGGAGTATTAGATTCTATCAAATTAAATTGTACCTTTATAATCTTATATGAAAGAATTAGACAAATACATTAAAATCATCATCAAATCATATAAAAATAATTCAAAATCTATTATTTATGTCTTCAATTGAATTCTTTCAAAATCAATTTGAATCCAATACCACCTGCTAAGATATATTTATGATCAATTCAGTTTTAAATATAATAATTGATGTCCCACAATGAAATTGAATTTTGATTGAAAATCCTCACAATTTCTTAGTTTTGATTACATATATGCTACATTGTTGTTTTGACTTGAACATAGAATGAAAAAGAGTCTTTGCTGTTTTATGTTAACAGACAGATAAACGAAACATTCTTCAGTTCATCTCTTAACTTTTGCTTGAAAATAAAATAAAATAAAACTTTAGCTAACTTTTGACTGTATATATGTGTATGTGTGACTATTATATAATTTGACATATAAAATTCAAAAATTATCTTAGTTTATTTGTTTCAGTTTGGCCTGGATTCAATAAAATTGGTCTCAGAAAAGTTTTCGGTTTGGTGTTCTAATTAATGAAGACATGTTTAGAAACTGGACTTGGTTTGTTCGATTTGTTTTTATTTTTTCATAACGGTCTCTTTCCACCACTAATAATGTTACATGGTTTATACATAATACACCCAACTTCCCATTTAGAACACGATCAATAGAATAGCTCATGCGCAATTTAAGGAAAGTTATATTTAGGTCATGCGAGTTTTTATGATATCAAAACACAAAAAAAAACAGCCTTAATTAGCACAAATGTGAAGATGTTCAAACATGAACCAACTTACAACAAATATTTCTCCACATGTCACAAAGATAAAACACTTGATTTTTTGACCCAAGAGAGCAGAGAATCTCTTGATCAGGAGTTTAAGGGATCTATCAAATTTACATGTTTCTATCCAGGAACGGGGGATACGTGACTGATTTCATTCTTTAGTGGTTTCCATCTTTCACAAATGTACAAGATCAAATATACCTGTAAAACTTCATGTGCTCCTGTTAGATATCAGATTAACTGTTAAATAATACTATAAATTAAGTAAGTATATAATAAATTCAATGCATAAACTTATAAACATAAAGAATGATGCACGATCTTGTGGGCATTAGTTGGCTTTTAAAGCTGTCCACTAATATAAACTGCAAATAGAGTTCGATTAGAACATGATCGATGGTACAAGGAACTATAGCAAACATCATCTCAGCCACACCGGCTTTCTCTTGCACATGTCTTTGTTCTACGCATTCTACACCATAGCAGCGATACCGCTCTAGTTGATTCAATTACAATGCAAAAGCTTTACGTGTTTTTATATATCTCTACGTTTTTAACGCTCGGTTTCAAGTTTCAACATTGTTGTTGTTATGTTATTTTTTCCCCTAAAATCACATGTTTCTTTGGAAGAACCAACGTGTCTATATCCTTTAATTTGACAAAAAAAAAATCTTTATGTCAGTATATACTCAACTATTCAATAGATTTCTTCACGAATAACCTAAATAAATCACTTTGAGCTAGCTTTTCAGTTTTGGATGATTCTTGACATAAATTAAATCCCCTAAACAAGTTTATATATGAAAGTAAAGCTTATAAGGTTTCTTTCTTGTAATTGCAGTTACTTTTTAGTTTGCTAAAATTGTAATTGCAGTTTCTCGCGTTAAGAAAGATCATTATGCCGTTTATACATTTTTTTTTTTTGTAAACTTATACCGTTTATACCTGACTAGCCGCTATTAAAAGCATATATTTAGGCTTGCATTTAACGTCAAACGTTTAAACATTTATTGTGATTATAAAACTTTACAACTGATATCATTCGGTAAACATATGTTCACATCCTCAAATAGAAGATTACTATGATAATATTGATAAGTTCAAAACATCACTAAACAATAAAGTATCGTATTGATCAGTACTTAATTCTGGTGTCTTTGCATTTCTCTATAACTCGATCTGTGAACAAACGTACAAATGATATGGTACTTTACTTGCACAAATGACAAGTTCACATGTTAGAACGAGGAGAGATCGTGTACCCGCCGTCTGATTCGGATCTAACGGCCATAAATGCATAATGAAGATGCAGAAAACGAATTTTCCGCTGGTGATCTTTTGCCGACCGGCTTGAGATCCGCAAAGTGTTTGGAATGTAACCACGTGGTAACATCAGAGAGGAGGGTGATGTATGTGGTTAATGGTTACGTGTCCAGTTTTGTTGGCGGCAAATCTAAGGTTTGGCCCACATGATACAGATTAGTTCAGTGTTTAACTTTTTTATATTCCTAATCAAATCAAATTAGCTGAAATTTAAAACGAAAAGAAAATACTTTTTAAAGAGGTAATGATAACAACTAAGTTGGAATCTGTTTTTCCAAATTAATTAAAAAGAAACAAAGGTGAAGCGAGCGCTATGCGTGGCGTGGCACATGTGTCATGTTGAGTGAGGTAATGACAATTAGTACAGTCGGAGATAATGTAAAAGCAATAAACACTAAAATAAATTCCAAAGACCAATCTAGTTTTTTTCCCGACAAACTTAAATTTTATTAATATGATAACATAGTATCAGATACAAGATTGGATAAACACCAATCTAGTAGGTAATTCTTTTTTTTTAAGTTGTTAAAAAAAGTTTTATTTCATATTTAATGTTAGTGTTTCAAAAAATGATTTTTAATCATAAGATACAATTTATTTTAACAACACTACTAATAATAATAGTTTTTTTTGTTTATCATAAAAAATATTAATGTTTTGGTAACTAAGCCGAATCAAATATGTCAATGCAAGCTATGATTGTAATCAGGATAGTGTCTTAGCACTAATATAAATAAAGAGATTGTAATCCAACATTTTTTCAAAATATAGATATCAACCAAAACTGATTTTCACATATCTATATCAACAGATGTATTTGCAGCTACGTAAACAATTTTAAAAGTTTACACGAACAAAATTAACCAAAAAGAGAAAAAATACAATATAAGAGTGAGCAAAAAAAAAAAAACACAATCAAACCAAAAATAGTGAAAAACTAATCCATCTTAAACAAACCAATTCAAAAACGTTTGTGTAACCAAAACCAAATTGTGTTAAACAATATCCAAATTTACATGTAATAAAACTCGACATAAACTGACTAAATTAAAACAATAATTTGTGTAACCAAAACCAAATTGTACAAAATAATATCCATTAAAATTTACATGTAATAAAACTCAGACATAAACTTACTAATTTTTTTTTTGAATCACACATAAACTTACTAAATAAATACAATAATTAGTTGACAAAAAAATACAATAATTAAAATTTTAAATTACCAAATTATCCCGAAGTTTTGTTTTTGTTTATAGAAACAAGTATCACAATCCAATGTACGTATTTCCATAAATAAATGATTAGGGAAAGGCCCCACATCCCATAAAACAAAACACACAAACCATAATAAAATCTCCATATATATATAAATACCATAACATACGAAACATAGAAAGAGATTTTAGAAAAAGCTTAGACCACCTCTCAGGCTTCGCCGAACATTACGGTGGAAGACGAAATAGAAAAAAAAAAAAAACCGATAACATGGTCAACCACTAACCCCCAAATAAAAAAACAAAAACTAACTCTTTCTCCTCTCTCTAAATATACGTTTCTTTCATCATCTTTGGCGCCTTTGCTTTTTTTTTTGCTTTCTTCAGGCGGCGATAATGTCAACGGCCGCCGCTAACCAATTGGCCGTTGCACCAATCACACGCCGCCGCGTCGGAGACTCCCTCGAAACCACCACCACCTCCGAACGCCCCTCCATCTCCTCAGATTACTGCAACATACTCATGCTCGACTCTGACGACGTCGACGCCACAACCGTCTCAACAAACGGTAACGGTAACGGCGCGTGTGCCTCACCTTCCTCGATGGTCTCTTCCTCCACCTCTTCCAGCGGATCTCATTACCACCACTACCATCACCACCCCACGATCCGGTACCTTCTCCGCGGGAAACTGAGACTGTTGTGCGACGGTGGTGGGTTCTTTGGGAGGAACGTGGGGCGTCGGATCTTGGGGCTGCTTATGGCTTTGGTGGTTGCTTCTCTGTTTATTAGAGTTTCGTTGATGAGTGGGAACGTGTTGCATCGGAGGGATTTGAATGAGCTTGTGGTTGTTAGGGCGTTGCATGAAGATTGGTCGTTGGCTCAAAGGGCTGTGGCGGAGAACGTTGATGCTGAGAAGCTTCCTGTGAGTTTTTTTTTTTTTTTTCTATGCGTAGAAAATTTTCACTTTCTCGAGAAAAAAAAACGGAAAGTTTGTGATTTTTTTTTTTGTGATTGATGATGAATTGAAGAACACCCATTAATATGTAATTCGAAAATTTCGAGCTTTGTGATCATCATAACTCAGAACAATCTAAATGTTACTCTGTTTCCTCTGTTTTTCTTTCAATAGAAAATTTCACTTTCCCGAGAAAAAAGGTATGCAATTTGTTTCGTCATTTGACCAATCAAAGGTTGTGATCAGTTTTGTTTTCCTCAAAGTTTTTAGCTTTCTGATCATAAGCCAGAAAAATCTAAATTTTCCTCTGTTTTTTGTTGAGTAAAGATCGGATTTTTAACAGGAACTCTGTTTTTCTTTCGTTTTCTCGGGAAATTTTCTACAAAAGTGGGGGTAGATGTCGACGTGTGATTCTCGGAATGTCTCAATTGATTGCGTCAGTGATAGAATTAAATTAACTAATCGTTATGTCATACACCAATGAAAATGCGTTTTGCATTCTCTAAGATTCGTTAAATGAAGTATTGACGAGGAATAAGTCAAATGGAAGTTTAAGCAGCCTTTGTTAGGTGTTGATCAATGATCAACAGTTTCCTTTGACCTTCCAGAGCTTCCACTATCATTATTGAATGAGAATATTCATTAGAAAAGGCTTAAGATTTTGTGTCTCGTGTCAAAAGGATTGTAATTTATGAACTTTGACTAGATTCACCATTACGTAGAGTTACATTTAACGTTTTTTTTGGTGTGTTACAGATTCCTGAGATATGGCAGAAACCTGAAAGTGGAAACTATCGCCAGTGTGCTTCACGTCCCAAGAACCGTTCAAGTAAAGCTCTTGTTATCTTGCATTTGTTCAGATTCTAGTTTCTGGTTTTCTGAAACTTGTTTGTGTCTGGCTCAGGGCTACGTAGGAAAACAAATGGTTATCTTCTAGTACACGCTAATGGCGGATTGAATCAGATGAGAACTGGAGTGAGTTTCAAATGTCCCAAGTGCTTTTTACATAGATATTTGATCTCTTGTTTTGCTTCTTACCATTGTTTACTGATTTTTTCGAAATGAAAAAATGTAGATATGTGACATGGTTGCTGCAGCAAAGATCATGAACGCCACTCTTGTTCTTCCTCTCCTCGACCATGAATCTTTCTGGACAGACCCAAGGTTCTACTTTCTTTTACTCTACACAACAACAAAATGGTTTTTTCTGAAGTGTTGTTTGTGATTTTTACAGCACATTCAAAGATATTTTTGACTGGAGACACTTCATGAACGTACTAAAAGACGACGTTGACATCACCGAGTACTTACCTCCTCGTTATGCAGCAATGAGACCTCTCCTTAAAGCTCCTGTCTCTTGGTCCAAGGCTAGTTACTACAGGAGCGAGATGCTACCATTGTTAAAGAAACATAAAGTCATAAAGTTCACACATACTGATTCACGTCTCGCCAACAACGGCCTCCCACCATCAATCCAACGCCTTAGATGCCGCGCTAACTACCAAGCCTTAGCATACTCCAAGGAGATTGAAGAGCTCGGAGAAGTTCTTGTGAACCGGTTACGAAACAACACCCAACCCTTCATCGCTCTCCACTTACGCTACGAGAAAGACATGCTCGCCTTCACAGGCTGCAGCCACAACCTCACATCCGGAGAAGCTGAAGAGCTGAGGATCATGAGGTACAACGTGAAACACTGGAAGCAGAAAGAGATTGACAGCAGAGAGAGGCGTGTCCAAGGAGGTTGTCCCATGTCTCCTCGAGAAGCAGCTATATTTTTAAAAGCCATGGGGTATCCATCTTCAACTACTGTGTACATAGTCGCTGGTGAGATCTATGGAGCTAACAGCATGGATGCTTTTAAAGAAGAGTACCCAAACGTTTTCTCACATTCAACGTTGGCAACTGAAGAAGAGTTGGAGCCTTTTAAGGCGTATCAGAACCGTTTAGCTGCGTTGGATTACATTGTGGCGTTGGAAAGCGATGTTTTCGTGTATACTTATGATGGAAACATGGCTAAGGCTGTACAAGGGCATAGGAGGTTTGAAGGGTTTAAGAAGACTATTAATCCAGACAGGTTTGGAATAACCACTAATGATATAAAGCATTTTGCTTTTTGTTTTCTTTAACTTGTTATATACTGAGATTTTTAGCATGAAAAATGGCAGGTTGAATTTTGTGAAACTGATAGATCGTTTAGATGAAGGTGTGATGTCTTGGGAAGAGTTTTCATCAGAGGTGAAGAGATTGCATGGAGATAGGATTGGAGCTCCTTATGTGAGACTCCCCGGTGAGTTCCCTCGGTTAGAGGAGAATTTTTATGCAAATCCACAGCCGGATTGTATCTGTGACAAGTCTCATCAGAGTGAGCAAGTGTGGAAAGCAGGAGGTAGATTGAATAAGGAGAGTGTTTGATGAAGATATAGAAGTAAGAACAGAGTCAACAACACACATTGATTGCAAAACTTTTTGTAGACGTCTTTTTTGTACAATATAGGAGAAAGAAAGAAAGGAAGGAAGAAAGAAGAGAGTTTCTTGGAAGATGGATACACAAAGCTGTAGAATGGGATTCCACTATATACATGGGCATGAAAAGAAAGATATAGCATTCTTTTAATGTGTGTTGGTGTAGCTTCAGAGCAGATGATTAGAGATCCCAGAGTTAAAAAGCAATAGCGAGAGAGAGACATGATTGATATCATTGCCAAGCAGAAGCATGATTTGTGTTACTCTCGTTGTTGTTGTTGTTGTTGTTATGAAGTGAACTTAAAACACTCACTCTTACATTCGAGCACAGATTTATACATGATACACACTATAAAATGGTTTTGTAGTTTCCTCTATGTTGGTTACTTCTTTGCGTTTAAACATAGAAAAACAAAAAGGTAAATCTTTATCAGAGCCAGGTTTCGATCCTGGGACCTGTGGGTTATGGGCCCACCACGCTTCCGCTGCGCCACTCTGATTTGTTGATGTTTTTCTATTTTCTTTTTTACAAATGATCATAGAGATTGTTGGCTTATATGCAGTCAAGCTGCCTCGAACAAATCAGGTTCTTGAACAAGATCTCTCTAAACCCTTCAACCTCGATTCGATTCTCGATATCGAATCAACTGTAAGTATCTCCTCCTCCTCCGTCATCTAGATCATTTTGGAGCTTATTATTCCTAGATCAGTCAATCAAACCTTGGATCTTCTTTCTTAGCTTATTATTCCAATTATCCATTTGTTTTAAAGAAAGTATATAGCTTGAAGATTTGATTGATAAAAATGGAATAATGTATTATCAGTCAGGTACTTGAGGCCTAAGGAGGATTCTATCAAAAGACATAGAGAGAGAGAGCTACTAAAAACTTCAACTTTCCTCCTTTCCTCGGGTATGCATTGTAAAATTCCCCTCCTTTTAATAGCGTTTTTTCACATTTCTCCTTCATACTCTAATTATTATATATAGTTATCGTCTTGTAAAGTAGCATCCTAGTCTCATCTGCTGCTTCTCTATTTACTGAGAATTTGGATCCAATCTTTTCTTGAGCTAAATATGATGAATGATTGTTGCATTAAACCATGTCAATTGTTCTTAGCTCTGACGACCTTCTTGCTATTTTGGATCTACCTTTATGTGATTTTGTTGTTTGCAAGACAACAGAGGCTAATAACTTTCTTATATTCATGTGTGTTAACTTAGAATCAAGATTCTTTTTAATGGTTTAATACTTGACCACTTATATTAGAGTATTACAAGGTTGATTCAGTTCCATTGTTAGATCAACTGTATCTATATGAGAGCAGAATTCTAACAAGGCTTGAGCTACTAAATGGCTCTCTTTTGTCTCTTATAGCGTTTTGGCTTTGTGTGAATCAGCATTCGTCTCCTTTACAATCTCTGCTGCTGCTTCAGCTACTGAGAATTAGGATATGATGTTTTACATTTTCGTAAACCCATCCCTTCATATAATCATGTTGAGAAAACACTTAGCTGTAAGCTGGAGAAAGCTTATGTGATTCTGTTTTGGTCTGACGAGGGTTGTTGACAAAACAACAGTGGAAATCAGATTTATCAAGAACCAGGACCTTCCTAACTCATTGCAGAGGCTTAAAACCGTTTTAGTATAGTATTGCAATTGATTTGTGTTCACTATTCATGTGCTAGTATCAAAGTTTTTTCCCTTCGCTTCTTTCATGGTTTCAACTTGACCGTTTAGATAGAGAGTATTACAAGTGGGTTCCATACCATTAATAGTTAAACTGTATCTGTATTTTTAACACTCATGGTTCTTGTGTCCTTCTTAATCCTTTGGTGTGTGTGTGACACAGATAGAAACCATGGGATTCTGGACACTGATGGAAGGGTTGCTACTATTCGCAAACGCACTTGCTATCCTCAACGAAGACCGTTTCTTAGCTCCCAAAGGATGGACACTCGCAGAGCTTCACCAAACCGGCAAAAGAAACTCTCTCAAAGGCCAAATCGTTGGTCTCATCCACGCCTGCCAGTACATGAGGCTTCCCCTCATGCTCTTCAACTTACTAGTCATCGTCACCAAACTCTTTTCCGGTTAAAAACCATATTCAAACACTTGTCAGAATAACCACTCTGTTTTGTTCATTCTATAGAAATTTTATACATTTATTATTCTATTACACAGTGAATAAAAAACACACATGTTCTTGAGACAAAAGCTATAGTTATTTCATTCAACAGGGATCATTACTTCGTTTGTCCTAAAAGGAGGCAACGTCCACGGCGGATTATACCTAGCGAGGACAAACTCTCCAACAATCTTAAACCCATCTCTCTCGAGATCACTCCTCAGCTTCTTCACCTTCTCACTCACCACACTCTCTCCCGCACTTCCACTGAACGTAACCACTCCGTACTTCCTCCCTCCTTCCTCCCTTATCACCACCCTCTCATCCGTCGGCCGCGGCGCATCCTCTGCCCTCTTGTACATCTCCGGTAACAAGAACTGCATCGTCACCGTCTTCTTCTTCTTCTCCCCTCCTCCTCCTCCTTTCGTCACAACAGGTGACGTCATAGCAATCTTCTCACCTTCCTTAGTGATCACTGGTGACGTCATAGCTATCTTCTCACCTTCCTTAGTGATCACAGGTGACGTCATAGCTATCTTCTCGCCTTCCTTAGTGATCACAGGTGACGTCATAGCAATCTTCTCCCCTTCCTTAGTGATCACAGGTGACGTCATGGCAATCTTTTCACCTTCCGTTGAGGTCACAGGTGACGTCATGGCTATCTTCTGGTTCTCTGGTTTGCCGAAGACGCCTATGTACTTAGCCAAGACCTGAAAGCCACCGTCTTTGTCTCCCTTGAACTCGGAAGGATCGTAAGTGACCTCAGCCGAAACCGCCGGTGGATATTCACGGACTTCGTAACCGTCGCCGGATTTAGCCACCGTGTATTTGGGAGTCTCCACGACGATCTTACCAAACACCATTCCTATTATGTAACTCTTGCCGAACACGTTACCCATAGTGTTACTGTTTATGAGTTTGGTTTTCGTTTTGGCTATGGTTAGCATTTGAATAAGGTAATGTATATTTTCACGTATATTATATAGTCCAAGATATTGATGGAAACTCAAATCGTATTTTTGGAAATATCAACGAAGCTTGTGTTGTATTTTGACGAATCATTGTAAACGACTTTGCTTTTATGACTAAAAGATTACAGAAGCTTTGACCCGTTTCTGGTTATTGTGTGGTTCAGAGGATTTGCTTTGTTACTAATCTTTTCTTGTGGAGCTTCTGCTTCCACGACGATGATGATTGACGAGGTGATGTTTTACTGTTTACATGGTCGCTGATTTCGGAAAACGGCAGGTATGTTTTGGAGAAATGGAAAGTGAAAACGGCACGTAGTTAGTGTCTGAGAGGTTATTAGTGTGTCCTTTCCATGGTTATAGATTAAGATAAACGCGTTAACAAACAGAAAGGTAGGGTTTTGTTATTTTTTGTCGGCGCCTTTTTATAAATACTTCTCTAAGCCAAAGCTTGGGAAAATATGTTAGGCTATTTGACTGCTAGGGTTTGATTATCTTTTCTGGTTTTGTTTAAGGCTTTGTGTGAGAGGGGAGTATCAGTGATGAATTCCATGAAAAAATTGTTATCCTTGCACTTTGATTGCTAGTGAAGATAAAATTGGGGTTTTCGATTTCTGAGATGCTCCCTCCCTCTCTTCTTCTTTTTCTTTAGATAGATTCTTGAATTTGGTAATGGTGTAATGATTGGACCGATGACTAATAGTTAATTAAACTGCGTTATCTATCTGCAAAACTCCTTCATGGAGTTTGAACAGAAACCATAAAAATACTAAGATCCAATCTTTATGTCAGCTTTATGATCAACTTGTCTTGATTGATGTTTAGAATCAGATCGATGATGTTAATTATAAAACTGCGTTATCTATCTTAAATCTCCGAAATAGGAGTTGCAGATACTAAACAGAACGCTGAGATCTGATTGCCTAACTCAATTGATAAGTTTATGTTAAATTGTCATGCTGGTTTTGATTTTTGGATGTTGATGAACCACCTTAACATAACGCTGTCCAAAAGTAATGCTGAATCTTAGAAATTGATAGAGGGATTGAATATTGTTTTTGTGAACATTCATAAAGATTGCAAAAGAAAAATATCGGCCATAAGCTCTGCTCTAAAGAGCAAATTGTTGAAACTTGGAAAAACAAAGCAATTTATCGTTTCTTCACCCAGTTAGTGGAAATATGCATGGAGGAATGCATTTGAGGCTTAGAAAGCCAGCAAAAACATCATCAAACCGTTAAAAATCAAATTGATATTTTGGAACTATGAATATAATTCTCAAATAACTAAGCAGGACAGCATATCATCAAACCGTTCAAAATCTAATCCGACCTAATATATACTTGAACTAAGAATGTTACCGCAGCTTAGAAATCCTAACAGCAGGGGCAGCTTAGTTAATAGGTTTTGTAAAATAACAAATCAGAATGTATAGAAACTATGAAATCATAACCTAAATGACACTGAAAAATCATGCGTAGACAGCCACAGAAGCCCAAATACAACCTCAAAACAAAAAAAGATAAGAATTTATTTTTTCCGACTAACTAGCCCAAACCTAAAACAGCCCCAAATAGCAAGCCCAAAATGTTTGAACCGAACGGTTCAGTTATCCAAAACAAAAATTGGATTTACCGCCAAAACCAAGGCGCTAAAAAAAAAATCTCCCGGCAAAAAAGATCGAAATTAAACCGGGTTTCCAAATGGCTCGAAAAGTCTCCCGCTCCTTTGTTTACTTCTCCCATCTATTCATAGATTCTCCACTCCATTTTTCTCCATTTTCACTTTTCTCCTTCTCCAAACCACTTAACAGTTCGATCATAGGGTTTTTCGAAAAATGGTGAAGACGAACAAATCAAAGAGCGCGGAGCGTGTAGGCAAGGGCAAAGTGACTCCGATGCAAGTCGCCTTCCTCGTGGATCGATACCTTTGCGATAACCGCTTCTTGGAGACCAGATCCATCTTCAGATCAGAAGCTTCTTCTCTCATCTCCAAATCCCCTCTTCGCGAAGTAATAATCCTAATTTTTCATTTTATTTATTTATTTTCGAATTATTGTTTTCTTATAGTCTCCGTGATTCCTATAGGTTCCGTACAGTTTGATACCTTTGGATGATATTTTGAACGAATACATAAGCCTCAAGGAGCAGAAAGTCATTGTAGATCAAGAGAAAGCTAGACTTGATTTAGAGAAAACTCGAGTTCAGAATCTATTACATGGTATGCAAGATGTCATGAACGTTTACAACTCCACCGCAGCTCCTCCTCCAGCGATTACTGCAGCTCCGGCGGCAGCTATTCAAGTGGTTTCCTCTACTTCTCAACCTAGTAACGTCAACATTGGTGTTTCTACTTCAGGTAATATACTAATTTGGAACTGTCACTAAGGTTAGTTTGTGTTGACATTTGATTGCCACATTTAGAGATTGAAGTTGCTTGAGCTGATTGTTTAGTTAGTTTCTCTCTTGTGCCAAAAATTATATAAAAATAACTGATCTTGATTTGATGTTTCCTGATTTGGTGTTGTAATGGATTAATGTTGTGTTCTTTAATTCCCAGGCGGCACAGTGCATCATAGCAGACCTAGTCTTATGTCAGCATCGTTGCCAGGAAACAAAAGAGTTGGAAACTTCACAGCACCTTCTTGTACCACTACTCATTCTGTAACCAGAAAGCGAAAGAGTCCTGAGGTTTCTCTACGAGGAGATATTGCTCCTCTTTCTTCTGTTTCTAATAAAGGTGGTTCTATTGCAAAGTTTTATTCTTTTCATTTCATGTTTGATAATATCATATGATACCTTTTTGTTAAGTCTCCATTAGCCCCTATTTAAACGCTGTTTTGTGTCCTTTTATAGGGATGAAAAAGATTCCACGAGCTGCTATGACCACTAACTACTTGACGTTTCAACCGCCGGTGAATAACAGTGTAGCTAATGGCTCATCTGATCTTCCATCAACTGTGGCTAAGCGTTTGTGTTACGGATCATCAGACATGTCACCTCCCACCAATTCAGCTTGTCCGAAGACACCACAGAAGCAAGTATCTCCTCAGCAAGAAGTTACTCCTCCTACAAACTGCACAATCCTTACCAAGGAGAGAATCACGGTCAGTCCTCACAAGCAGATTGGTTCTTTCACAGTGGAGAGGAGCCGTATGGTTTCTTCTTTTTCTCCGGTTAAGTCTAATCTCAAGATGTCGAGTAAAAGAGATCATGTGAAAGGAAGGCTTAACTTTGATGATGAAGATGAAGCCACAATGAATTTAGACGCACCTGCTTCTGGAGATTTGGTTTCGTCTTCTTCATCTGGCTCTGGCTCTGGCTCTGAAGCAGAAGTTGATTTGTTTGATATAGATTTTCTGAGTGAAAACTTTCCATTCTCGGAGGTACTAAATGATTTCGATCTTGGTTATGAAGGACTACCTGACCCTTGCCTGCCACAACCTTTAAACTTTAACACGGAGACTGCTTCAGGGTATATGTTCTTCTCTTTGGCTTAATATCTATTCCAGTTATCTACTGTTACTGATCCAATTATGAAACACAGGTCATCTCCTGGATCAATGAATGAGAATCTAGCGCCTGACCAGGTCGTGTCTGAGTATACTTCAACAGTAACAGAAATGATTCAAGAAAAAGACATGAACACACAAGGTGGGTTCAGTTTAGTTCATCCTCTTAGATCATAAAATTCTGTAGTTGTTTTCACTGATATACTCTTTTACTGTTTCAATATACAGGATCTGACTCCATGACTACTGTAAAGTCCATAACAAAGTGCCTACGAATCTTGAGTCCTGGTACTAGCTCTTTCTCAATCTGATATAACCATACCATAGATATCACCATCATGTCCTTAACTCACAGTTTTTTTCTTCTATCTTCAGCCAAGAGTGGAAGACAAAGAAGTCACAACTGATGGATTCTGAGAGCTTCAACATTAACTTAGATCACAATCTGTGAGATGATGCAATCTTTCATTCCTTTTGGTTGGCTCCTAACTAGGTTTACCTTTAAGTGAATATAGGTTCTAGATGCTTTTTACTACCAAAACTATCTGTATCAGTCCAATTACATCTTCAGCTTCTCATCGTTTTCAAAGGCTTTCAATGTAAAGCAGAACCATTTGATGATGTATTATGTCATACTAGGTGATTTTCCCGTGCTCATGCACGGGTATAAATATTTTAAAAGTAAATATATGATAATAATTAATTACTATTTAATTTTAGTTTTCAATTAATTTATAATTTGTTTGTATCATTTATATTAATAATATTATATTACTTTAGTTATACTTTAATTTTATATAGGTTATATCTAGTCGATTTTGTTGTTGTTACGGTTGATTTAATTATCATTTGGATAAATTGGATTGCATCTCTGAATTCAACTGTAATATTTTAAAATATATGAATTTTTTATTAATTATATATTTGCATATAGTGGGTGTTGTCTTAGATATGTAAATATATTTTAGTAAAATTATGTATAACTTAAGATATATTGTGCTTAGAATGAATTAAAAATTAACTAAAGTGTCTGATTTCAAAATACGTAAATTAATATAACGATAATATTCCAAAGTCTCATGCATATATATAAATTTTACAAAGAACTAAAATTGTAAGAGTTGGTTAATATTTATTTTCATTTGTTAATATGTTTTGTGTTGTCCTATGATCAATAAAAGGCTACATGCATAAGTAGTTGATACATTTTTGGAACCTCATGAACACATATCAATATTTACAATAACTAAAATATTTATAAATTCTAAATAACTTTATGCTTTAGATTTATTGAATGTANTAAAATTGTAAGAGTTGGTTAATATTTATTTTCATTTGTTAATATGTTTTGTGTTGTCCTATGATCAATAAAAGGCTACATGCATAAGTAGTTGATACATTTTTGGAACCTCATGAACACATATCAATATTTACAATAACTAAAATATTTATAAATTCTAAATAACTTTATGCTTTAGATTTATTGAATGTAAACTGAATTTTTTTTTAAATAATCTTAAAATTTGAAATTTATATTTGCTTTGGTATTTTGATTATGGTTTTATTTAGTTTCACAAACATAAAAATTTAAAATAAATTTAATATTAAGAAAAAAATAATTTTAATAATGATAAAATTATTTGATCAAGAGATGTTTATTGTTAAATTTTTTTTTTTTTGTGTTTAATATCTCTTAAAAATAAGCACTACATAAAATTGTGATTGTATTTGAAAATAATATTATATAATTAAGTAAAATATAATTTATAGATAGTTTTCTGTAATTGAAAGATATTATAGTCAACTAAATATATGAAAATAAATAAAAATTTCAATAATAATAATTATAAGAAAAAATTATTACTCTGAAAGTATATTTTATGTTATTTAAAAATATTTTTAAATGTATTATTACTATTTTGTGAACTTTCCTTTTTTATGAAATCATATTATATGTACATATATTTTTCGTTTTTAATTTTTTTTTATGACTTTATAAAAATTTCCTTTTTATTACATATATTTTTGGAAATTTTTGAAAAGGAAACTAAATAAAATAATTAATAATACTATTTTAACTATTTTTAATTCATTAAGGGTATCAATGTAATCAACCATCGTGAGAGTGAACGTGAGATCGACACATAGGAAACTGACTTCTCAAATAATATTATAGAGATATTTAACTTAGTGTATGCTTCTGTTTATCGAAAGATTTTATGATATGGCTTATAATACAAGTAATCAAAGCATTAACAGGGTAAATGTATGGGTCTTTATCAACATTTTCTAACCAAACACAGGCCAAATAATCACCAAACTCTTAATAATATAACCAGCACTCTCTTTTCATGATCTTAACTCATCAACACCAAACTCTCTCCAACAAAACTTTCAGCCCTGCCTTTATAATCCTTTCCTTTATTTGATACTCTGCATCCAACACCATTCTTCTCAACAAATCACCTGAAACAGAGATGTCTAACTATGGTATGAACGGTGTCGAGAAGCAAATCAGCACAAGGCGTGTAGCGAATCCAGGAAAGGCAACAGTGCTTGCTCTCGGCAAAGCCTTCCCAAGCCAAGTGGTTCCTCAAGAGCATCTCGTGGAGGGATTTCTACGTGACACCAAATGTGATGACCCTTTTATTAAAGAGAAGCTAGAACACTTGTGTAAGCCACATCATATTAGTTTCTGTAACAGCGATCACTCTCTTGATACTCTCTCTTACGCTAATGTTTTTGTTTGTTTGTAGGCAAAACCACAACCGTGAAGACACGCTACACGGTCTTGTCACGAGAGCTACTAGATAAGTACCCTGAGCTAACAACAGAAGGCTCACCAACAATCAAACAAAGGCTAGAGATAGCAAACGAGGCCGTTGTGGAAATGGCCCTTGAAGCAAGTCTAGGTTGCATCAAGGAATGGGGAAGGACAGTGGAAGACATCACTCACATCGTCTACGTCTCCTCAAGCGAGATCCGTTTACCCGGTGGCGACCTTTACCTCTCCGCAAAGCTAGGGTTAAACAACAACGTGAACAGAGTAATGCTTTACTTTCTTGGATGCTACGGAGGTGTAACAGGTCTCCGTGTAGCTAAAGACATAGCTGAGAACAACCCTGGAAGCCGTGTTCTCCTCACAACCTCTGAAACCACCATCCTCGGGTTCCGTCCACCAAACAAAGCTCGTCCTTACGACCTAGTCGGAGCAGCTTTGTTTGGGGACGGTGCAGCAGCAGTGATCGTTGGAGCAGACCCTTTACCCTCAGAATCTCCTTTCATGGAGCTTCACTACGCTGTTCAGCAGTTCTTGCCAGGGACACAGACCGTTATCGACGGGAGATTGACGGAGGAAGGGATAAACTTCAAGCTGGGAAGAGACTTACCTCAGAAGATTGAAGAGAACATAGAAGAGTTTTGTAAGAAGCTGATGGAGAAAGCTGGTGATGGTTCTTTGGAGTTTAATGACATGTTTTGGACTGTTCATCCAGGAGGACCTGCGATTCTGAACCGTCTTGAGACAAAGCTGAAGCTGGGGAGAGAGAAGCTTGAGTGTAGCAGAAAGGCGTTGGTGGATTATGGGAATGTGAGTAGTAACACTATATTGTATGTGATGGAGTATATGAGAGAGGAGTTGAAGAAGAAAGGTGATGGTGCACAAGAGTGGGGTCTTGGCTTAGCTTTTGGACCTGGAATCACTTTTGAAGGTCTTCTCATTCGCAGCCTCACATCTACCTAGTTTCAATTATGCCACCTTGAAGAAAATAAACGAATTTAATATTGTAATCCAAATTAATATAACCCTATATAATGAATTCACAGTTTGTTAAATTTGATTTAACAGTAGCATGAAATGAGCATTGTTTTAAGAAAAAAAAACATCTCTTGCATATGACTCATCTACTTGAAACCACACAAAACAAACAAGAAGACACAACAATTGCTTAGACATACATCAGAAAGACATGAACTCATCATGCATTGACTTGGTCATGTTCAGTAGTCACGGACAATGTGGGCAACAAACATGTCACGTTCAACATGCTATTACATTGTTAAGAGACTTAATTAATATGCTTTCATCCATATTCTTAAATACGCTGTAATACCACTTTTTATTTTATAAAAGAACACACATTTTTCAGTGACAAAAAAAAAAGAACACACATTTTATGAGAATGCCTTTAGTTTGTCACTTTCTTAATGTATATTTTATATAACATTGTAATTTGTAAACAAACTTAATATAAGTCAATATAATAAATTCACGCAGTTTGTTAAATTTTGATTTAAGAGGAGCGTGAAATGAGCATTGTTAAAAGAAAAAACACACGTCTCTTTGTAATAATAGTATTGTACTATAGCATATGACTAGGAAGGAATGTTTGGAACAAGTCAAAAGCAGCAACAAGTGTCATCAGCGCAATGACTCATCTACTTATAACCACACAAACACCAAACCCCATCATGTCCACTGAAAACAAGGACTTCCTCCTCCTTTTTAACTCACTCATCAAACACTTACTTTAGACACACGCACACACACATCAAAAAAGCTATGGACTCATCGTGCATTGATTTTGTTATGTTCAACAGTCAGGGACAACACGATGAAGGCAACACCATGTCACGTCTTCCATGGAAGAGGGTGAGAGACGAAGACGAAGAGCTTGCCAACTGTCTTGTGTTGCTGTCCAATTCAGGAAAGAATGCTTACAACAACAACGAGCACCGACACATCAAAGATAAAACCGTGAAAAAGCAAAAAACCGGACATGTTTTCCAATGCAAAGGTTGCAAGAAAGTGTTTGCGTCGCATCAGGCATTGGGTGGACACAGGGCGAGCCACAAGAAAGTGAAAGGTTGTTTTGCCTCTCAAGATAAAGAAGAGAGGGAGGAAGAAGAGGAGGAATATAAAGAAGAAGACGACGATGATGAGGAGGAGGAAGAGGAAGAAGAAGACAAGCCACACATCATCACAAGAAAGAAATCTAACGCTCACGAATGCACAATCTGCCATCGCGTATTCTCATCGGGACAAGCTTTGGGAGGTCACAAGAGATGTCATTGGTTAACACCTTCCACTAATTATCTTCGTATGACGCCACTAAATGATTCTTCTACTCATCATCATCATCATCGTTCTCAGCCGCTAGATGATCAACCATCTCTAGATCTCAACTTAGCTTGCCCCGTTGATCCAACGGTCATGAGCGTAGGGAGAGATGGTGGTGGCAACAATCACAATGCTACTTCTTCTAATTCATGGCTAAAACTCGCTAGTGGTGACTGGTCTTGATGATGCTGAATTAATTAAGTTGCTGATTATATATTCATTCGTTTATATAGATGGTTAATTTTCCAAATGACCAATTTCCTTATATACTCACATACAATTAAAGTGTATTAACTAATTTAAAAAGTTGTATGGATTTATTATATAATATACGCTTCATACCATTTCTAGTAGATTAAAATTTAATTAACCTAAAGACATCCATATATGATTTATAATTTATTTATTTTTGAATGAATGTTAAATTTTATTCACCAAAAATGTCTTTGTGCTACAAGAGCATACATTTTCCAAAGTCTGAGACCCTTACTGTACATTACATCATCCACCTTCTAAAGACAATAATCTTATTGCATTCTAGTAGTTATATGATTTAAAATCAGCAGTTGACACACACATATTATATATATTTAATGTGTATAGGCTCTCTTTTTTAATACAAATAAAATTTGGTTAGTAGTATGGCCCAGTCTAGCTATAGTGAGTTAGCTTTTGTAGAAAATAATGCTTTAGTTGGGAACTATTCTTATAGTGTCACTTGCACGTAATTTCCATATCAGAGATGCACCATTGCTGTTTTAAGGATGTACAACAACCTTTCTTATATTAACGTTCTGAAAATTACTAGGAAATATTAGCGTATTGTTGATTAATTAGCAAAAAGTATTATATTTTGCAAAAGATAAAAAAAAAAAGAGATAATTAGTTAATATCTTCCTCAATGGCTAGTGGTAATATCACTTCCTTTCACCTTATCCACTTTCCAATCCCTTCCACAAATCTAAATCCCCTTTCTTTCTTGAAAGCAATGACCTTGGCGTTGAGCTCGGAGGTAAACTCAATCATATGAGCTACAAATAAACACAAGAAGAATTCATGAGAAGTTTTGTTTTACCTTTTTGAAATCAACAAAAAAAAAAAAAAGCATGTGCTTAATAACCTGGGATAGTATAGCCATGACCACGTTCACCGTTGCCAAGGGGACGGTTACTTAGGACAGTAGCTACGCGAAAAATAGTTAATTTGAACCCTCCCACTTTAGTTCCACGAAGATCCATCGCCCTAGCTTCTTCTTCTTGTTTGGAGAAATAGATATTAGTCAACTTGTCGAGTGTATTGACATAAATATGAGTTATCTCCCCACAATACATGAAATGTTTTGTCAAAGCGCTCTCGACTTCTTCAACAGTAAGGGAAGTGTCATATCCGCTAACGGTAACCCCATACAGACTGCAGTTAAATTTTTGTAAATGTGTTATCTAACAACAAACAATACATATCATTAAACGAGACCCAAAAAGAAAAAAAGAAAAAAAGCAAATCAACTTACAATTTTGGGTCATGCATTAGTTCGTGAATCAGAGAGGATCTATACTTTGCTGACTCCTCGTCTTCTCTATCCGGTTCAACCTTGACAAGAGCAATCCATCCTCCCATGTCAGTTCCATTAAGTTGCAAAGCCTTCTCTTTTGCGCCATCTCCGAGAAGGATAACAAAAGCGCGTCTGTTAAACACAAAAACAAAAACATGTTTTAGCTTTAGCTGCAAGAAATTCACAACACAAATATACCAAAAAGACACAACAAACCTGTCGAGATTAGGGCAATCAGGGTCTTTTTTGGGAACAACAACCCTAAAGATTTCGCCACATGAATTGAAGTGATTAATCAATTCCTTCTTGACATCATCCTCATGCAGACAAGTGTCGTATCCCTCCACAGCAATCACAACTCTAAACATTCGCACGTAGGAAGATATCAACAATTAACAATAACCTTCAAGAGGTTAGTTCTGTGTCTTTAATAGATCCAGATTTAATATTTTTTTATCAAAAAAAAAACAAGAACATACACAAAAGTATCTCCAAACTAAAAAATAAAAAATAAAACAATATAGAAGAAATAATTAATTACCGGGGCATGCTTATGAACCTCTCGGCAAAGGCTTGATTTTGTACTCGGATCTCAGGCTATCATAATTGGCCATGGAGAAAGATGCAAATTAACCCTAACCTTTACTATATTCTGATTTCGGAGAGATGAGGGCAGATATATACACATGTCATTTACGGTTCTGACTTAATCCTTTATATACTGAATCACAAAGTCACATAACCAAAAAAATTCTGATAAATGGTATTTTACCGTTTAAAAAATAATTCTAAATGCAAATATTGGATATTGATTTAGATCGAGAAGAAAAAAATGAAAATGTTGGAAAGTGGAATTAGAGAAATCTTGATTGGAGAAAACGGCATTGGTTTTATACTTGCCTACTTGGGTCGCATTTTAGCGATTAATTCGTGCATTTTGTTATATGGTCGAAAATTTCTCAAATACTGTAGTTGGGTATTGATATTAAACAAAAAAAAAAAGAATGACTTTATTCTCTAGTCAAATTTTCTAAATTAATTAAAGGTATTTAAAACAACAAAAAAGTGGTGTATAAGCTAATATTATTTTTTTAAAGTATATCCTAAAATATCTAAATTATTTTAAAATATGCAAAAATTAATAAGCTTAACTAATTTCAGATATTCTCATGCATCTTAGTTTGGATTTCACTTCGGTTCGTTTCGGTTTAGTTATAACCAATTTCACAAATCCAAACATAAACGACGTCGTTTCACATCGTCTTCAACCTCAAACCACATTTTGGTCGACGATTTTTATTCGCCTCTCTTTCTCCTATCGCTCCTCCTCCCTTTCTTTCTCATCCTCTGTTTTCCTCCTTCAAACCTCTACACATTGGTTTTTCCTCAGATCTTCATCAAAAGTCTCTCCCTTTCTCAACCTCCCAGCTCTTAACCCCTTCAGGGTATTTAAAAGTCTCCACCTTTCCTTCCTCAAATGCCTCCTCCTACTTCAAAACTCCACGCTCTGTTCTCCCCCAAACCTCAACTACGCTATAACAGAACCAAATCAAAACTCGCCACCTCCCTTGCACGTGCCATCAACTCTTCAGACAAAATCGAATCTTCTTCACTACCACAACCTCTCTCAACAACCACAGTCCTCCAAACCCTCCGCTTAATAAAACCCCCTTCCCACGCTCTCCTCTTCTTCGACCACCTCACAACCTCCTCCTCCTTCTCCCACACCCCACACACTTACTTCCTCATGCTCCACCTCCTCTCCCAATCCCGCAACCTCAACGCCGCCCGCAACTTCCTCTTCTCCATCGAGAAACGCTCCAACAACTCCGTCAAGCTCCACCCTCGCTTCTTCAACACGTTAATCAGAAGCTACGCCGACGCTGGCCTCCTCCACGAGTCCCTCTCCCTCTTCTCCACCATGAAAGAAATGGGCGTCACACCTTCCACAATCACCTTCAACACTCTCCTCTCTATCTTACTCAAACGCGGGAAGACCGGTATGGCTCTTGATCTCTTCCACGAGATGCGTGCCACGTACGGTGTTAAACCTGATTGTTACACTTACAACGTTTTGATCAATGGTTTTTGTAAGAACTCTATGGTGAGTGAGGCCTTTAGGGTGTTTAGGGATATGGAGTGTAGGCCTGATCTTGTTAGTTATAATACTATTATTGATGGGTTGTGTAGAGCTGGGAAGGTTGAGACTGCGCGTAATGTGTTGAAAGGGATGGTTTTGAAAGATGTTTTTCCAAACGTTGTTAGTTACACTACTCTTGTGAGAGGGTATTGTATGAAGCGTGAGGTTGATGAAGCCTTGGTTGTGTTTCGTGAGATGGTTGTTACTAGAGGGTTGAAACCGAACGGTGTTACTTTTAATACTTTGATTAAGGGGCTCTCTGAGGCTCAGAGGTTTGGTGAGATCAGGGAGATTCTTGGAGATGAGGGTATTACGTTTGCTCCGGATGGTTGTACTTTTAATGTTTTGATTAAAGCTCATTGCGATGCTGGAGATGTTGATGCGGCGGTTAAGGTGTTTAGAGAAACGGTGCGTCCTGATTCAGCTTCGTATAGTGTTTTGATTCGTGCTTTGTGTCTGAGGCAGGAGTTTGATAAGGCGGAGAGATTGTTTAATGAGTTGTATGAGAAGGAAGTGTTGTTAAGGAAGGATGGATCTAAGCCTCTTGCTGCAGCTTATAACCCAATGTTTGAGTATCTATGTGCCAACGGGAAAACGAGACAAGCTGAGAGAGTTTTCAGGCAGTTGATGAAAATAGGAGCGCAAGATCCACCTTCTTACAGGACTTTGATCATGGGACACTGCAGAGAAGGGAGTTTCAAAGGTGGGTATGAGTTGTTGGTTCTGATGCTGAGGAGGGAGTTTGTGCCTGATCTTGAAACCTATGAGTTGCTGATTGATGGGTTGTTGAAGAAAGATGAAGCTCTTCTTGCTCATGATGTCTTGCAAAAAATGCTTAGAAGCTCTTATCTTCCCGTTGCAGCCACTTTCCATTGTGTACTTGGCGAGCTTGTTAAAAGAGGGTTTGCTAACGAGTGTTTTGAGTTGGTAAGGATAATGTTGGAGAAACGAATAAGACAGAACATTGATCTTTCAACGGATGTTGTCAGATTGCTTTTTAGTTGTGGTCAGAAGGACAAGGCGTTTGTTGTTGTTAGGTTGGTTTATGAGAAGGGTTATTTAGTTAAGATGGAGGAGTTGGTTGATTTCTTATGCGAGAAGAGAAAACTAGTTGATTCAGCTTACAGTCTTGTCATGTTTTGTCTGGAGAATAATCAAATGATAGATATAAGCAGATGCAATAGAGTCATAGAAGGACTGTGTCAGCATAAGAGACACTCTGAAGCATTTAGTTTGTTTAATGAATTGGTGGAAATAGGAAAGCACCAAGAGCTTAGCTGCCATGTAGTTTTGAGAAACGCCTTAGAGACTGCTGGAAAGTTGGAAGAAGTTGGGTTTGTGTCAAAGAGGATGATGGCTGTGTCAGATGATTGCTATGGACTAAAACAAGGGATATCATCTTAAATCTGGATGGATATTGGCAGAGGCCCGTGTGTGTTCCGTTCATGAGCCTCTTTGTTTCATGGTAAAGAGATTTTCCAATTTTGTGTAAAGTATTATCCCCTGTAAGTGATAAAAGTTTCAAGTCCTTCCACTTATCTACTGCCATTTTTACTTATTAGATGCAGTTCTGAAACACAGCCAGGTCATCTCCTGAATCAATGAAAGGGAATATAGTGCCTGACCAGGTCGTGTCTAAGTATTCTTCAACAGTAACAGAAATGATTCAAGGGAAAGACATGGTGGGTTTAGTTTCATCCTTCACTTTGGGTTTTAGATTTTAAGAAGCTATAGCTGTATCACTTACACTCTCTCTTTACTGTTTCAATTTGCAGGATCTAACACTCCAACTACTGAGAAGCAGCTACATCTTCAGCTTCTCATCGTTTTCAGTGTAAAGCAGAACCCTGTGCTGTGATGATGTATTATTTCATATTTTATTCAAAGATGTATGCTTCTGTTTATCAAAAGATTCAGGCTTATAATACAAGTAATCAAGCATTAACAGAGTATATGTATATGGATCTTGTTGCTGTCTTTTATTTGGTTTGTCTAATAGTATGTAGATAAACGATTCTTTATTAGCGTTACGGTTCCTTAATTCCTTTCCACCGAATCGCCAAATGCCCGTGAAGCACAAGTGAGACAGGCTTTGTAATGGCAAATTTATTTTGGGCCTGGACTATTATTAAGAATCGACTACTATCTGACGAGATAAACCGAACCGAATAGTTAACCAGGAGATATGACTTAGTTCAATTACACAAGTTTTAGTTCAGTTTGAAATGTAGTTTTTATCCAATTTGTTGGTTTGTTACCAGCGTAATATGACGTACTCTACGTCACCCAGTACGACGTTTACAGTGCGTTGATGCGACAACTGCTACTTTTTTTTATAAGTTAATTAATGTTTTGGATGAAACTATTTTTATCAATTGCTATTCCCTGCAACGTAATTGGTTCTTTTAGATGATTTGGGACTCCCTAAGAAAAAGCATGATGTTAATGTTTAAATGCACCTTCTATTTCTAGTAACAAAGGGTTTCAGACTTACACATGACAGGTTAGCCTCAGTCATATTCTGATGAAACTTTCGTATTTTCCCCAAAAACATTTATACCTTTTTAAAACTATTTGTATCTTCCTTTTGTTTTACCGTTCGGTCGAAATCTTTTGTTTTACATATTTTAAAAAAAAATTATTTTGTTTTACTTGTTGCTGGTTCTTCATTTCCACTTGGTTATTTTTGCTTTGCTGTGAGTTTCCCTAGACTTTCTTCCTAGTAAGTGTTCCATCCTGAAGATAAAGCTTCAGTTTTTTATAAAAAAAAACTGTAAAAAGGTTGTAGTAAGTTCAAATCATGATTCAAACTTCGATCTAGAGTGATTTTCTTTACTTCTTGTTGGTTCATCATTTTCCCTTCATTATTTTTGTTTTGTTGTGAGCAAACAACAAACTTTACCTAGATTTTATCACATATTCTCCTAGTAAGTGTTCCAATATTCAAGTTCAAATTGTGTCTTGAAGATAAAAGCTTCAGTTTTTTTATTATATGAGAAAAGTTTTTAGTAAGTTCAAATCATGATTCAAACTTTCATATGTGCCTAGTTCAAAGAAGATAAAGACTATGTTAGAAGCTGGAAAAAGTTCTGAGCCTCAGCCAGCTACTGTAAGTAGATGAATAAAAATGGTTTGTGTTGTATTTGATTTTTGATTTTGTTAACATATCATTTTTATCGGTGTGTGTGTGTGTAATGTTTCAAGGTACTTGTTGACATCCCTAATAAACATCTCCATGTACTCAATGAAATTATCAAGCTCGTTGATCCTCAAATGCAACCGTTAGTCGCCGATGTTCTTAATTACGTGCCTAAAGAAATTCTGCTAGACATGATAAGATTTAAACCTGATTCTGAAATCAGAATTATCGAGTGTGTGAACAAAGTAAATGGAGATACCAGACGCGTGAGATATGCATCGTGGATGAAACGTCAGGTACTACATTTATCTTAACAAAGAGGTTTATAGCTAGTGGGTGAGATGATGGAAAAAAAATGTTAATTGTTGCAGCTCATCCCAGAGTTCTTGAAGGGGTTGACGTGGAAAGACATTATGGGAGAAGTGGTAGATCAAAAGGAACATGGTAAGATCTAAACATGTAAAATTATTCTTGTGCTTGCTTTAATTGGTGAGTAGTGATATAAAACCCCCCTTGGTTCTGTTTGCAGATGTGTGCTGGGCCATCGTGGTGGCTGAACTTATACGGGCTTTGAGACAGATTGATGGACGTGACGCAGACGTCAATATAAGATATTCAACACAGGAACTGATTGACTTTGTGGACCCTGTGCAACGAAGAGTGGAGCGCAAGGCTGAACACTATTGCTACCCCTTGAATCTCACCAAGGGTTTTGAGTATGTTATGAAGAATGGAATTCAGAGAGAAGAAGACAGGACCTTCAGTGGATGTCCTAGGGATGTTCCTGATTACACTCCATCGTCTCAGCTCGGATATATCAAAAACTTTGCAAGGCTCGGCACAATCAGCGAGGCCCTTATCCAGCTTAAAGAACATCCTATTGGAGCAAGTTTGGCCATTTTTCAGCCTGAGTACAGAAATATTGGGAAAAAGGTGAGAGTCATTTGTTTCCCACGTATAGTTTACTTATTATTGAATAGATATCTATTTTTAATATACTAACCTTAATGTGATTGTGGGTGCTAAAGATATACCGTGGACCTGTCAGTCAAAATTCTAAATTACGCTGTATGCATGCGATTTCTCTAATTGAGGTGGGCGAAGAAAACGGGGAGAAGTATGTTCTTGCGAGAACAAGCCATGGGAAGAAGTTCGGAGATGATGGCCACATAAAGATCTCACTGGAAGTTGTCATTCTCTACATACCCATACCTGGAGAAGATGTTGACGAGAACGCTAAGAAATATTTTAGCAAGCCAAGATCACTTGTTGGAAGGTTCAGCTACCCAGTGTTATTGACAGAGGCTGAGGAGGAGATCCAAAAGAAGATCCATCAAGACAAACAAGTTTCCTGCGATGAAATGGAGCTTTGAAGTATCTCTTGTTTTATTGGAATAACTATGATATTTGGAACAAGTCCAACTTATTTTGTCAAAGAGTTAAACATTCAACTTTTGTCCTAGTGGTATGGTTTATAATGGACGATTCTGAATTCTAATTCTGGTTTAATGATTTAAATTGCTTTGTAAGAAGATAGAAAAATATCACATTAGGCTTTGATTGACATGGCATTAACATAACAAGCATGCTCATTATTATTCAATCATGTTAGAAAATCATTTGTCAAATGCCAATGTTCTCTACATGTTTCTTTCCTCCACTGATCTCATATGAAATTTTTAGTACACCATTTACATTTACAAATTATAAATTTATGAAAAATATAATTATCTTATTTTATTTAATAATATCATAAAATTATGTATAAGTCCAAAAAAAAAAAAAAAAAAATTTTAAAAGAATTTATCATCAAAATCTTTTCAAAAATAATATTGTAAAATATTATTTTTTTCAAATAAAAAATTAATATATTCTAAACTAAAAAATAACTGTAAAATTTATTTTTAAAATAAAATTTATTTTTGGATATAAACACAGTTTTGATATTATTAAATAAAATAAAGAAAAATATATATTTTCTTAATTTTATATATTAATATACACTAGAAATATATTCAATAAATCATATATATATATATATTATTTAAAAATAAATATATAATCTATTTATACTAATTTTGATAATAATTTAAAATATTTTACTGCTATTTTTTTACCAATTATTTTATTAAATAGTTTAATTAAAATATACAACTTCTATAACATAACATGATGATTTTATAACATATTACTACTGTTTTATCATTAGTTCTGCCATTCGAAGCATATGATCAATGTACACAGAGGTTTTTTAAAATCACGACCAATGTCTTCTTTTAGCCTTGTTTTAGACTTGAAACCATTCAAATTTATGTGAAAGATCAAGGCCAAAATCATTCAACTATAGAAGTATTACTCTGGAGCTGGTGGTATTACCATTGAGATAATTCTCACTGACCCAAACGTAAGTTATATACGTGAAAAATATATTACATTACGTTAATTTATAGAGCAAAAAAATTAAGAGTATATTTTTAATTACATAATAATGTATATACATTAGTTGCTATAACAACATTTACATTTGTAATATCTATATTGTGAAAATGATTATCTCTCTTAAGCGATTTTACCGTCGATAAGGTGCTGGTTATTAGAAGGGGGGGGGGGGGGGGGTGCAAACATAAATAACTCTCAAACATTCAAACAAATTAAGTGGTAGCTTCAGATAAGATATCATCTCGAGTATTTAAACATGGCAAGATCAATTAAATACATAAAAGGAGCGTCTAGTTATCGATCCAACAGTTAACTTGAAAGCTCATGTGTTGTGGTCTTCCATCCGTGGTCCGCCTTATTATGCCTCTGCACTGGAGACCCCCACAGGCGGTGAAACTCATGTAGAAAGTTGCATTCTTAGACCTGAGCTTCTTACTCGACTCTACATCTTCCCTTGTTCGTACCACTATTTTCTTCATCTTCACCGGCAAATAAGCACTCTGCAACAACATCAAACAAAAACACACATTGTTAAAATGACAAGTGCACTCGCATTCTCTATGTTTAATTTGCTTTTGATCCTCACTCACAAGGTCAGTTTCCCACTTGGAGAACATTACAAGTTCAGCATATAGCTGAAGCCATTCGTTGTTATCTCGCATATCCGATTCCTTCACCTGCAATTGTACACCAGCAATTTAAAACCATGCTGCTAAACATACCAAAAGATAAAGACAAAAGTAACAAAACCTCATAGTATTGTAGCATATCACTTCCTGTAAGAGCATCATCCTGTAGCCAAGAGATATCATCTTTATAAAACTCGTCTACAGCATCGTGGTCCCACAGAGAAGTTTCTTTGCTGGTTCCTATAATTTTTTAAAAGAATCAAAATAACCATTAACACTCACATTCTAAAAAGATTCAGTCATAAAAGAATCAAAATAACCATTAACACTCACAAGCATTCTAAAAAAAAAAACCGAATTTACCTTTGATTCTGCAGACTTTAGTGATGAATCTCGAGGTCTCGTTGCTCTTAGTAGCAGCATCCCAGACACAGGTTTGGAAAGTAAGAGGTGAAGCATTGAAGGGATCCATAGCTTCAACAGTTATATAGTACATAGTAAATGAAGCAAATTCCTCGTTGGCTTTCTGTACACTCCTGAATTGTAAATTCGTCCCCTACACCACAAAAAAATTGAGTCTTTTTAAGTTTACCCCAAACAAAACCAAGAGAGTGTGAGACATTACAAACCTTATCAAAGTTGTAGGAATGGAGTCCCAACTTGCTCAAGAGTACAGTGGAAGGAGTGGATCCAGATTGGTCTAAGCTTCCATACACTGGGAAAAAGTCCACATCGAACCCCTACGCCCAAAAATTCAATTCAAAATCTTTGTGATGAACATTAAAAAAAAAACCCTAATCAAGGATGACCCAAAAGAGGGAAAAGGCGTAAAGGTTGGGAATTTACGCCGGACTCGACGACTTGTTTTCGATACTTCTCGCGTTCTACCGGATCGATCTCTTCCTCGTCGGAATCTGAAAACGTTGTAGGTAAAGTGTAGTCTATGATCGGTGGTGGTGGTGGTGGAGCTTCCAGCTTCCTCTTACGATGCGGAGGTTCGTCCAGCCACAGGTTGGCCTCATCCAACATAACATCGTATTCGAACATAGTTTCAGATTTCCTCAAACCCTAAAGATGATTGAAGAAGACACGAACAGAGAGAGATTTATTTATGTTTCGGGGAGGTTTTGTGATTTTTTTTTATATTTTCCTTTTCTTTTCACTCCCTATACTTTCATCTCTTCCTAAATAGGCCCCCCGTTCCTTTCTTTGTCGTCTGGGTTTTGGAGTTTTTTAAAATTTGAATTTCTCGAATCGGATTTATACATATTTGTCGAAAATCACCCAAAATTGGAAAACTGTTTAAAATAAAAATTGAAACTAGAATACTAACCACGTTAAAACGCGGATTATGTTTTGTTTTTTTTTCTATAGTTTTGAAAATAATAAAACAACAAGATTATTACAAATGTTAATAATTAAACTAAATACAGTATGGTATGTAATGTTGATAATGTGGGTTAACTTATATACGACTCTACATTTATTTTCGACAAATATGATATGTTGATAATTTGAACTTAATAAAACACTTTTTTTTTTTACTGTCACACGGTAAGTTTACTAAACAATTTGTTATGAAAAAAAAAACCAACGTAATTTATCTATTTTTCATTCTTCTAAAAACGTTTTTGGATATCTATAGAAAAATAAAATGTTAACAATACTTATAGGGTTTGATAACTAAAACAATACTATATTTTTTTAAAAAAAATTGAAAATTGTAAATTTTCACAAAACAGATTCGGGAGAATGTATTTCAGAAATAAAACTCAAACCTTAGTGTTAGTAAAAGCAAAAGAAAAATATGGTGTTAGCAAACTACTAAGTACTAACATTAACATTCCTCAAATGGAAATGATTTGGATCAAAAGATTTTCTTGCTACGAGGATCAAAAGATCATACACTGAATTTTTTTTTAATTTGACAAAATATTTATTGTAACTTCTCTGCTGGTTAGTACCATTTTAATTTGTTTTTTTTTCTTTAATAAAGTGTGTAAGAAAGGAGCACATGTGACATTGCCGCCATTTTTTTAAAAACTATTATCGTTTCATGGACAAATAATAAATGCATATACAATTTATACTCTCTCTGTTTCATATTAAGTGTTGTTGTAGAAAAAAAATTGTTACAAAATAAGTGTAATTTTGATTTTTATTACAAAATTTATTAATTTTATTATGCAATTTTTTTATTAGTTAAAATATTGTTAAATTTATGGATAATTTATGTTTTTATATAGAAAATATGTAAAATTAATTGTTTTCTTAAATCTAAAGTGATAATTATAATGAAAGAGAGAGAGAGAGAGAGTAATAGTTAAAACAATTGTGAATTATGATTTTCAAGTCCAAAGTTTGGCCTGGAATACATAAGTGGTCTATGTGACAAAATAAAAGTCCAACACAAATTCATTTGCATTATCAACATTATAAACTGAAAAAAAAATTGGTATGAATTTAACATTTCGACAAAAGAAAAACATCTAAATATTACATCCAGACATTATTCGTTATTATAATTAATATTTACATTCTTAATACTAAGTTTTTTGTTTTTAATTTTATAATATTATCTGAATATTTGTAGTTAAAAAGATCAAAATAACATATTTTCATTCTTAATAAAGCCATTTTTATCAAACTAGTTATTCTGTTACCAACTTATTATGACATATTCCGCGTCACCAGTGTGAAATGCGACAATTGCTTTTATCAGTTAATTAATGTTTTGTATGAATCTATTTTTTATGTTTTTGAATTGACTATTAGTGAATCTATTTTAACCAACTTACTGTCTTCATGAAATTAATTAACTGTTAGAAATAATTTTTTTCCCTGCAACTTTAGATTTTCTGTTTAACTTTCTATTACATTTGGCTCTAGTCTCCAATTAATATACGTATATTATATGTACAGATGCAATAATATTATTTATATATTTAATTTAAAGTTTACCGTAAAATTTGCGTGTTAAAGTTAAAGAGGAGCAATCAGCTTCTTATAGTATTTTGATTCGTACTCTATGTGTGAGATATGAGTTTGATAGAGCGGAGAGATTGTTTAATGAGTTATTTGAGAAGGAAGTGTTGTTAAGGACGGATGGATCCAAGCCTATTGCTGCAGCTTATAACCCAATGTTTGAGTATTTATGTGCCAACGGGAAAACGAGACAAGCTGAGAGAGTTTTCAGGCAGTTGATGAAAATAGGAGCGCAAGATCCACCTTCTTACAGGACTTTGATCATGGGACACTGCAGAGAAGGTAGTTTCAAAGGTGGTTACGAGTTGTTGGTTCTGATGCTGAGGAGGGAGTTTGTGCCTGATCTTGAAACCTATAAGTTGCTGATTGATGGGCTGTTGAAGACAGGTGACTCTTCTTGCAAAGAATGCTGAGAAGCTCTTATCTTCCCGTTGCAGCCACTTTCCATTTTCTACTTGCTGAGCTTGTTAAAAGAGGTTTTGCTAACGAGTGTTTTGAGTTGGTAAGGATAATGTTGGAGAAACGAATAAGACAGAACATTCGACTGATGTTGTCAGATTACTATTTAGCTGTGGTCTGAAGGACAAGGCGTTTGTTGTTGTTAGGTTGGTTTATGAGAACGGTTATTTAGTTAAGATGTACGAGTTGGTTGATTTCTTATGCGAGAATAGAAACCTAGTTGATTCAGCTCATAGGCTTGTCATGTTTTGTCTGGAGAATAATCAGATGGTAAATATCAGGACATGCAATAGAGTCACTGAAGGACTGTGTAAGCATAAGAGACACTCTAAAGCGTTTAGTTTTTTTAATGAATTGGTGGAAATAGGAAAGCACCAAGAGCTTAGCTGTCATCTAGTTTTGAGAAACGCCTTGGAGGCTGCTGGAAAGTTAAAAGAAGTTCGGTTTGTGTTGAAGAGGATGGCTATGTTTAGATGATTCATGATTGTTACCAACTTATTATGACGTATCACGTATTCTACGTCACCACTCAGTATGAAATTCGACGATTGCTTTTATCAGTTAATTTATGTTTTGGATGATTCTACTTTTATCAGCTTAGCCTTTTATCAGTAACAAGGGGGTTCAAAGTTAGATGATGTTAATGTTTCAATCAACTAATAACAGAGGGTTTCGAAGTTAGATGTGACAGGTTAGACTCAGTCATAATTTAATGAAATTTTCCTTATTTCCCCGAAATGCATTTATAACTTTATAAAAATATTTGTATCTTCATTTTGTAATATTTTTCTTTGAAAATATATTGAATAGTGTAATATTACGATTGAAAATAATTCTAAAATAGATTTTAATCCATTGATTGTATGTTTTGTATTACTATTTAGATATAAATAAACATTTGGCTAAAATATGTAAAAATGGATTCTAAGATAGATTTTTAATTTATTGATTGTATGTTTTGTATTACTATTTATAGATAATAAATATTTGGCAAAAATATGTAAAAAAATTAGGAAAACATTAGCAAAAATTTAATAAAAAAACGAAATAATAACAAGAAAAATAAAAAAAATGCCAAAAAACAGATACATAATATGTGTTGGAGAAGTTAATTTGATAATTACATACATAATATAACTTCACAAGTATTGTTATTATTATATATTCATCAGTTTTTACATCAAATTTATGTAAATTTTACCACTAATTATAAAAATATTTCAATTTAAAAATGATAGCTTTATTGTTTCTAATTATTATTCAAAATTTATAATATTATATATATAATATATATATTTTCATACAATATTTATAACCGCGAATTCGCGAAGAGACCTACTAACTAATTACTAAAAGTCATGCATGATGTTGTTTGGAATATTGTTTACCCTTCCCAAGAACAGTTGTTCTACAAAGATTACAGTCGACATTTTGACCCAAAAAAAAAAAAAAAGATTTCAGTCGACATGACTGCTACTAAGACCATGCACAAAGGGCTAAACGCTGAGACGCTATGGTTTTCATAACCAGGCCTTCAATGTAGTAGCACATAGGCCTTCAATGTAGTAGCACAGTGCTGAGCAGACAATCCCCTGCATGCATTTTATGGTAGACGTGTCAGTTCCAAATAATAAAATTTTATATGTATTTAAATGTCTGAAACTTACACTATATGTGACGGTAAGAAGTCTGCTATCCCAACCAATGCCTCATGCACCAGGATTTCCTCTCTCCGTGACTAAGGCCACAGCTGCTCCCTCTATTGTCCCCATCAAGCATATCCATGCTCTGAGGGAGAGCTCGATCGGGTAAGTTTTCAGCGTGAAAGCCTGAAAATCATTCAACTTATCATCATCAAAAACAATCATCAAAAACAATGTTAAAACCTGGATTTTTTTTGAGTTTTATCTTGGTAAAGTAAGTAAATCAATTACAATGGTTTTTGGGTGAAGAAAATAGAGAAAAAATTGTTCTTGCTAGAACAAGCCATAGGGATAAGTTCGGATATGATGGCTACATAAAAATCTCATTTAGAAATTGTCAATTGTCTATACCCACAACTTGAGAAGATGTTAACGTGAAAGTTAAGAAATATTTTAGAAGGCCAAGATCACTTCTCGGAAAGTTCAGCTATCCAAGGTTATTTACAAAGGCTGAGGAGAATATACAAAAGAAGATCCATCAAGCACGTTTACTGCGATGAAAGTATTGTTTGATTGGATAACTATGATATTCGAAACAAATCCCAACTTGTTTTACAAGAGAAACATTCACTTTTGTTAGTTGTATGGTTATTATAGACGATTCTAAATTCTGGTTTAATAAAGCTTTGTTAATTGGAATGGGTAAAGCAAAAATAATTATCAAACATGCAAACTAAATATGCATAATTAAGAGGTAGCTTCAGTTAATAAAACATATGTGTATCTCTTTACTTGTCGATCCAACAGTTAACTTGAATTACTAATAAAATGAAAAATTATGTTATCACCTCACTAATGTACCAAATAACATCGATGTTTATGCTGAACAAATTTAGAGAGAAATGAAATGAAAACTCAAACACAAGTACATGAATACTAATAAACATTAGTTTGATTAGTATTCCAAATTGAAAACGAATGTGCAAGGTGTAAACAATGCATAACAAAGTCTCAAAGATCAACACAGTTTCTAGTAACAAAATTGGCATAAAATGAAAAAAAAAAAAAAAAACATGATCCAACAAAAGATGATTACTTGGGGAATAAGTAACTGGATAAATATACAAAATAACATAGACCCCACTTCTCTCTATGAATATTCTTCTTTTCTGGAACAATGACCAAAAACAAAACTTTACCACCCTTACAGAATTCAAGTAGTCCAACTTCAAGACCAACAAACAGGTCGTCTTCATGACGCCCATTGATCAGCTGTTTCATACATATATAGATCATGTCCCCAAGTCTGGTGGCGAGTTTCATGCACCATTCATTGAGTTATCAGTGTGGACTCCATTGCTATCTATCTTCCCATTCACTTGAGCCCTTGGTCTCTGATCAAAGATAAAGAGCATTAAAGATCAAACCGTGTGGTTTGTTTCAGGTTGAGAATGAGAACAAAAAGAGGCTCAGGTTGCTTACCCAGTCAGCAGGATCAACACCGTTGCCATTCAACAGCTTGTGGTTCTCTTCTTTCGTTCTGTCCTTTGAGATTACAGGGAGCAACACCGTGGTCCGATCTGGTAACTCTGAAGTACATACATTTGAACAAAAAGATATGAGAAAAAACCAAGTCCCTGCCAAGATTAAGACAACAAGTGTTTCGTTTCTATGAAAGAAGGGTTGTCTGAGATCAAACCTGGCAATTTCTTGTCTAGACAGAATACCACCAAGTTCACAGTATACCATGCAACAACAACATCGACAGTGTAATGTTTACGGGAAGCAATGATCAAGAGGCTTTGCACGAAAGCAATGAGCCAACCAAACAGCTTTATGAACCTGAGAACATAGTATGAACAGAACAGTGATGCAGAGATGACATTTCAAAGTAGGTATTGCCTAAGGAGTTTATGAAGTTTTTTTTTACCTTTTAGTGCCGTACTTCTGGTAAGTAAGGACAAAGACTAGCGTGAAGATCATATGCGATGAGAAAATCAGGTCTCCACATCCGTACATCACCCCATGAGCTGATGAGATCACATGAGAAGATAAGCAAAACAATGAAAATGCATGTGGGGGAAAGGAAAAAAAAGATGTAGTAGACTCACGGTTAATCTCGAGAACCTCGAGAGGGTTTTTGGGCCATGGCATCCTGGCAACTTTAGAGCCCTGTAGCAAAAAGTGGAAAACACATAAGCTTAATCGATCAGAACACATGAGAACTTGTGCAACGTGTATAGAATGTCAGTTGCTTTATACCTCACGACAGTGATAGTTTGGGCCAGGAAGCTGAGTTGAATAGAATGTAATAACACGGAGAAACTGGCAGGCCTGTAAACAGAATCATGAGACAGAGTAATCTCATCAAGCCTGTAAAGAGAATCATGAGGCAGGGAGGGGCACTTACAACTAAGAATGCTAGAACTCTGCACCATATCAAGACGGTGTATATCTTTTTGCTTTTCAGGATGAATGGATGGAAAGTCCACTACAATTAAAAGCCAAAAATGAGTATCAATATCGTAATATATAATAATGTAATGAAAGAGGACCAAACTGTAGTATATTGAAGATCAAACTATGAATGTTGCAATACTCACCAGGAAAAACGAAACAAATACAGTAGTAAACACAGTCTCACTTATGTAGCTTCTCTCTTGACCAAGCTCCTATACAAATGCCAAAACCAAAGCTATAAGACATCTATTCTGAACATATATATATATAGCTGAGATGTGTGAGATCAAACCGGAAGAAGAAAGAAGCCAAGATCCTGGAGAGTAGGTCCTGGGCGATGAATATAATGAACTCCTTTAGCAGCTAAACCATGAATGTACTGCACACAACATATACCATTCACACACAAAGTGTCAAAACACCCCACAATAATAACACAAACACACAAAAACATAAGCTTTCTCTCAATCCTAAGACCACTGTTTCTCCTGGAAAAAAGGAAAGTTATGGGTTTTTAATTAAATAGAGAAAAAGCATAAACTCTCTCTCAAAAGTTACCATATGTATAAACAAAACCATTGTCATCATTAAAGCTTCAAAATCTAAATCTAACGAGAATCAAATTAAAATCTGAAAACAACAACAAAAAAGCTTTTTCGAATGTTCAAACCTGACAGATAATACCAGCGACAAGGTACTTCCAGTTCTCAGCGAGAAGACCGATCTCTGTCGTAATCTCCGAGCAAAATCTCTTCCACAGCTATTCACAAAATAAATAAATAAAAAACAACGAATCAGGCAATGAATTGGAATAACCCAGAAGCTGAATTAGAATATTATGATTATCAAACGACGAAACCTTGGAAGATTCGCGACGAATGTAAAGCGTCATCTCTCTCTTTTTATTCTTGTTTTCGTGTGACGATCAGTTCCATACTAGCTCACAACATCATTACCCAAATCCAAAGACTCAACCTTTTTTGTTTAAATTGTTAGTCTCGAGCTCCTGGCCGGAGAAAGGTTTGATTTTTATGCGAAACCCAGATTCCGATTTCAGGAAGAAAGGTCAACGATCTGTACGGTCAATCCAAGATCTGAGAACGAGAAAGAGAGATGGAAGAAAGATTAAAGCTTTTTTCGATGTGGAAGAAAAAAAAAGAGATTTTCCTTTAGCAGAATCTGAGACAAGGCAACCAAGTCCGAGATTGGTATTATAAAGGCAAAAGAGTTCAACACGGAGAAACGGTTGAATTGAAAAAAAAAAACAAAATAATAATACTATTCAACTTTTGAAAATTACAAAATTAAATTTATTTAAATTAGTCGGAAAAGACTAATAAAGAATATAAGATTTTTTTTTGTATTTTTGTGTGTGTTTTAATCTTATTGTCGAAATTTAAACATTTTCCGATATTAAAAAAAAAACATTTTCTGATATTTTTGATTAGCAACATTTATTTATGAATCTATCAGATTGCTTGGTGGGAACTAGTAACAAATGGTAACTATAGTACATTCCTATCAGAATTTGGTTGTATTTAGCTGTGATTTACTATTCATGTTAGATCAATTAAACTTCAATTAATACTTAAATTGATCTACAACAATTGTCAAGTTTTAGCTACCAGCTTGTATGATATCATTTATACTAATTAATACATGAAGAAACTTTAATTAAATGGATAACAATCGAGAACATAGATATTAATTAACTATACGTTTTATCTTTACTTTATTTATTGTTTGGATCTATTGATTCAAGTCAAGAACAGATTATTGCATGCTTGAACGTTTTCCCAATTGTTGGTTTAGTTTTAAAAAAACAAAAAAAATCACGTAACTAAAAATTATATTAAAGAAAAATGCGAAATTGTAAAAAAAAAAAATTGAACAAAAGAAAAGAATATGCAAGCAAACAAAAAGAGGCTAAAAAGACTGAATGAAGAAAAGTCATAAAAGTCTCCTTATGATATAAACAATATTGGAAGTCATCCCACCAAGAATGCCAAGTTTTGGTGCTCCAAATATCATAACTTGTTTCTAGAATTTTTTTTTTTTTTTGGTAAAATTTTTTTTTTTGATAACTCAGGTGTCCGGGGCTTATTTAGAGACCCGACTATCCCCCGAAGGGGTCCTGAAGGCCAAACGGAAACCATGTTAAATCCGCTGTGGCCGGGGCTCGAACTCGTGATGGCGGGCACCTCAGCCGAGGTTCCTTTACCACCAGACCACGAGGCCCGGTTAACTTGTTTCTAGAATTTTTTTTTTTTTTTTTTTTTTGGTAAAATTTTTTTTTTTTTGATAACTCAGGTGTCCGGGGCATAATGACGAGGTTTTAAAATATTTTGGACCACGAGGCCCGGTTAAACCTGGTAATGATTGTTAGAATTTTTTTTTTTTTTTTTTTTTTTTGATAACTTGTTTCTAGAATTGGTCGTTACTCCTAATATTTTGGTCAAATAATACACAAAAATATATACATTTTGTCATTATTGTTTTGTAGTCTTTTTACCCTCCTTCTGCTATTCTAAAAAGTAAAAACCTGGTAATGATTGTTAGAGTCATTCTGAAAGAATGATTCATGTGTCTTTACCCTATTTTTCTTCTCATAATGAATGATTCATGTGTGTTTTTTCACGCATGCATGAAGCTATTTCTAGAAAAAAAAATATTACTCAAAACACTTTTTAAAGGAGAATGGGAAACAACATCGAGCTATAGATTGTAGACGATTCCACCACTAATATTACTATATGCATTATGATAATTCTGGATAGGAAACTTCTATCGCCCAATATTAAAATTTTCAAAAGTCACAGAAAGAGATTTGCTCAATAAAACTAAAAAGTAGTCAATGGTCATGAGATGAAGAACCCACCAAGTCACCAACCGTTATTGACGCTTTATTTTAAAATTTCAAAGGTGATGTCTGGTGATTAGAGCTAGTAGTGGCCAATTTGAAACTTAATACAAAGTTGAATTAACATATAAAAAGACTTAATCCAAGGTTTAAATATTAATTCAGGATAACCACTACACGTGGTGGGATATGATTTGGAGGAGCATGTGGGTAAGTAGGGTAAAGCAGCGAAGTATGTCTGTCAAATGTGGTTTCCATCCTCACTCACATGCTCAGTTGAGTTGTCTCTCTATCCTCTATACCTCTTTATATTAGTATCATAAACCATATCTAACCCCAAACAAAGGATTAATAGTTTTTCACTTAACTGCTGAAGATGATTTTTTCGAAATTAATAGCTTAGTCCTTGTGTTGGTCTTACTCTCCTAGTCCTAGTGTCTTATGATGACTACTTTTTGCTAATTAAATGTCGTTTCCCACTAATTTCCATGTAAAATACACATCTTTATAAGAATTCCATGTTACTAATATAATTTTGTTAGGCTATGTAGATTAGTTGTAAAATATTTTTGTGTATGGTTAAGATATGGCTCAAATTACTTGATGATTTTTTTTTGTTGTTGACAGATCTAAAGATGTTTAAAATATAAAAATATATTTTCACTATATTTTGTACATTGCGAAAATTCTAAACAATTATGCCATATATAATTATTAAATACAGTTGTATATTAAAGCACAACCAAACATAGTCTAGCTCAGCCATTTCAGCCTCATGATTGCCACTAGACCCGACCTATTGGAGAAACCGGTGGGTTTGATACGTACTTCGTTGATGCTACTCTCTTCAATGTACCAGCTCTGTTCAAAACTGCTTCCTCCTCCTCCTCTTCACACCAGTTCTGATGACTACTTACTGCTAACGCAACAAAGAACGCTTCCATTAGAGAAACCGATGATACAAACTCAACCGAGTGGAATTCATGGTCGTGTGTCACCATTTTGAATACTGGCTCGTCTCTTTCCTGTGAGAATTCCAAGTGTTAGAAATGATTCACCTCTGATACTCAAAGATACTTGAACATAACAACTTACCTGATCATCAAATAGTTGAAAGCTTGAGGAGGTTTGAGACTTTGTATAGTGATCATTAGAGAGGACACGGAGTTTGCAACCAATGTCCCAACCACCACAGTCACATGAGCCACCAGCTTTCCACCGGTCAAGCAACGTAAGAGGGACGTTACAGTCTTTAGGAAGCGTGTGAGATCCACTAGGGAGTATAACAGTAGTTGTGTTCTGCTTTTGAAGTATGTTTCTTGTCTGAACAATAGCTGCAAGCTCTTCCTTTGTCTCAACACCGACCAAAACAGATTCTGATTTGTAGGTTTCTGAATCAAAGTTAGTCTTCACGTGACCGATGATTGTATGTACAAACGGATGATCGTTCTTGTGACGGCCTAACCAGTTTCCACTCTTGTTCTTTACTTCTTTGATGGAGTAAAATGTGTAAGACTTTCTCGAGGAATCTGAACTCTTCATGGTGGCCGCAAGAACATTGTTGTTGTTGTTGTCAACCACAAACTGATATAAACTGATACCTTTTCTCAAAGTGAATTGCAAAAGCGCGTGTGATCTTGAGCTGAACTGATTCTTCTTCTCCATGGTTAATGGGACATTCTTGTCAGTCTTTGGTTTCATTACATGACCTGAGTTGTTGAATGTCAAAGGACCTGATTTGGTTGAAGCATGAGATGTGCTTGACAATGCAAGACCAGAGGATGAGCTTTCTTTGGTACTGAAACTTCTACTCATCTGACTAAAACTGAAGCTAAACCGGCGGTTGGGAGGAGAAGCATGTCTTTCTTTCGTAGATGTCACAGACAAGTATGGTTTCTCTAAAGAGTTTTGGTTCATCTCCATTACCTTAACCGGACTTGAACATTGGCCTTGGACATCATCATGTCTTCCATCTAGCTCCAGTCTTTTAACAACCCCTGTTGCTAAATCTAGTTCCAATGAACCAGCATATGAAGAAGCATAGCTACAACACGCTCCTCCTTTGGTTCCCTCTGAATCAGTATCCTTCCGTTTCTCTAACTGTTTCCAATCTAAAACTCCAAAACTCAACGCCTTTCCACGTATATCTTCAGTTCTTCGGAGATACCTTGGCGGATCCAACATATCACGCTTCACAAACTCATCCTTGCCTCGATGCTCCAAGGCTCTACGTGAATGAGACGAAGGATATCTATCCTCATGAACCTTAGAGGCTCTTTGTTGTCTCATTATAGTGAGATATAATCACCTATGTTTCTTCATCCACCTTTAGACTATAACTCTGCAATAATAAGACAAAGAACATGAGAAACGGTACTGTAACCACTAGAGACACAAACAAAATTGAGTTGAATTGGATGAAACACAATTTGATACTTTAAACTCAAATCTTAGCAAGCTCAACAGTATGGGGAACGATTGTGAATAGTTCTTGGAAGAAATCACTCACACGGAAAGAATTGTTCGGAGATCTAAGTAAAAACCTTGGAGAATCTCAAGAATTTTTGGTTACTAATTGATCATCAAAGTGTGAATGCAAACGAAACTCACACTTTCCCTTTTCATTTTTTTTTTCACTCCGACCAAACAAGAGCTAAGTAAAGAGACAAAAAAGTGGAAACTAGGGACCCACTAACCAAGAAAAAAATCAGGCGGATCGGAGATAGTCGGTGAAGGAGTTGCGAGAAGAAAGAAGATAAGTGAGAGAGGTGGCGCGAAATCAAGAGGCGGATGACGAAGGAAGACAGGAGGAGAATATTAGATTCGGACAGAAGTACTTAAAATACCGCCACTGAAGTGCAAACAGATTCTCTGTCTGATCCCATAGTTTCAGTTACTTTCATTAATGTGATTATTTGGTTCCATATCTCTTTTGGATATTCGTCATTTACCGTGGCTATGCGGTTAACTTTTCGGTTAAATATTCAATTTGCGCTAATTACCCAAAATATATATCGATAAAAACAGTTTTTTCCTTTTTATATTTTCTGTTCATTGTTTTCTTAACTAATCTAAATTATTTTATTGATTAAGTTTTAGATAGAAAGACTATTTCTGACTTTATCTGATTTGCTCATTTACATCAAAAAATAGTACATCCACTCTAGTTTCTTTTGCGTAAAATTCAACACATACATTGAAAAGCATAGAAATATAAACTATATTATATATATGTATATATATATATATATATGAGAGCACTGAACATGGTTTAACTAAGCCGAATAATGTGTTTGATTTTCTTTTTCTTGTTACATTTTTAATCAAAATAGTAGTGAATATTATCTATCTTAGTTGAATATTTTGAGATCTTGTAAACGTGGTGAAATCTATCTATCGGATTTTATCTCACATTTGGGTGGTCCAAAGGTGGTGTCGCATGAGGTGATGATTTCATCTTATGCAAACAGGAGGAGGTATATGGTCCAGCTCAAGTTTCGTGTTGTTTTGGTTTTGGCTATCTACGGTCTACTTTTTGGTGTTCTGATTTACTGAAAAGCACTGTTTTAGCATCAGACTGCGTGCGTTGCCAGGGTCTTGAAACAGTAGAGCACTGCTTCTTTACTTGCCCATTAGCTCATGCAGTTCACCTAGCTGCGGACATGCCGATTCACAACATTGTGAGCAGTTTCAGGAGACAGGTCTGTCTCCCCCCTTCAGGGATATCCTGCAATGTCTTACCTTGGATTCTCTGGACTATCTGGACATCACGTAACACAGTCATCTTCGAAAATCGATCCATCTCTGCAGAAGATACAGCGATTAAAGGTTTAAGATTAGCACAGGAATGGTCAAAGTCTCAAGTGAAATCAAAGGTTCAGGCTCCATTTGCTACAAACCTGCACCGTAGGCCTCGACAGGAGGGGGAGAGGGAGCAAGCCGACGACTGTATTATTTGTACGACGGATGCAGCGTGGGCGAAGGACAGTAGGAGAGCAGGTTTTGGATGGATCTTCTCTGGACATCAGCTAAGCTTACCAATCCATGGATCGGGAACTAGATGTGATATAGGTTCCCCCCTCATTGCAGAAGCCTTTGCACTGCGTTCTGCCATTCGCGAGGCGTTGGTTCTTGGTTTCCCAAAACTCCGAGTCTTCTCCGACAATTCAACGCTCATCAGAGCAATCTCTAGCAACAACCAGTCAAAAGAAATCATCGGTATCGTCTCCGACATCCGTTCGATCTCCTCTGGCTTTGCATCTATCGAATTTTCTTTTTTCCCTAGATCGCAAAATCTAGTTGCCGATAACATTGCTAAACAGGCCCTCCTGGGCTGGGTTTCTCCTTCTATGTAATGTACTCTGGAGTTGGGCCATCGTTTTGGGCCTTGCTTCTTTCTTTATTTTCTAATGAATTCAGTGACAAAAAAAAAAGCTGAAGATTAAAAAAAAAAGGTTAGCTAGGCAATTCATTCCAACTGATCATTGATCTTTTTCTTTTGTAGATCTTAGATCTATATTCAAAACCATTTGTTCAAATATATACGCTTTACATCAATCAAAGGGAATTAAAAATGTATAAAAAGAAAAGGTGTGGTTCTTAAAGAGATAGTTCACTCATCACTGAAGTGTAAAGTTGATTTTAGTAGAGTTGAAATGTTGATCTTGTTGGCTATCCATATAAACAAAGTTACAAGATGGAATAGAGAGTGAACTGCCGTAGATTGAGTCGTTTTGGTAAATGATTTAAATATGCAAGATATCTAAGGAAATATACAATATTCAATTATTCAATATGTGGGGTTTTCTTCTTTTCTATTCGAAATGTAGGCCTCTCACATTGTAAAAAAGAAAAGAGAAAAGACAGCAAACGTTGCTCTCGTTTTCTTCTTTTTATTCTCCTGTATTTTTAATTTGAATAAAGTAAAAGTCAGAGACATATCGTGTTTCTGTCTCCATTTTCCAAAATGAAGAATATACAAGTAGAATAACATAACCCATAAGACTATAATCTTAGGCAGGCTTGCCAAAACAAAACTCATGTCAAAGGATTTGCTCACTTATCACTTACCCTATAATTCTAACGAGATAAATAATTAAATCTTATAACAACTTAGCAATGAGACGTAAACAGCACAAAAAACATAAAAACCAAGGAAAAACCGAGACATAGAAGTAGTCTAGATAGTTCAACTAAGAGCTAGTGAAGATTGCATCGCGGCCTCAACCGTTACCACCATGATCTCCACCTCCTCCACCCCGCCTTCAGTATCCCCACCATTGCTATCATCTCCACCATCACCTCCGCCTTCAATATCCCCATCATTGCTATCATCTCCATGATCACCTTCTCCTGTAACGACACCATCATCAGGAGTCACACCTCCTTTGCGCCAAAAACCGGTAAGAATCCACAAAACAAATATAACAACAAGTAGGGTTACCACGACGATTTCCCCAACATCCATGTTACACACTTACACAACACACATTGAGGCTTGAGACTGAGGGTAATGAATTGAAATCTTTAGGTTAACTAGTAAGACTCGGTAGTATATATTATTTTTTGTTTTCCAGTAAACAAATAACGTATTTTGTTTGAATTGACTTAGATTTTTAGTATTTATATGTTAATCATAGAAACTTTTAGTTAGGGATAAAAAGGTTAATGAAATGCAACATGTAAAACTCTGACGCCAAAAGAGTAGAGTTTTTGTTTGACTAAGGGATTTCAAATTTATAAAAAGGTTACAAGATAAGACTCAAGAGCCTTAATTATAGCAAAATAAACCTTGCATGAAACAATCTTCATAAAAATTTAAGTCTCATACCTAAGAAACAAGTAAAGCAAAGACTAGAAGAACCAGTAATACAATGAAAAACAGAAACTGGTGGTAAGAGCCAGTTTTCATATAACTTCACCATTGATCAGTAGTTAAGTACCATTGAAATCCAAAGTAAATGAGGTTACTGGTAATTAAATTTATAGAGTTTGTTGAAAGATTTTGCAAAGATATTTAAATGCTTTCTAAAATTTTATATAAAAATATTATATTATAATGATCTTAACAATTTCATGAATATATGCAAAGTTTTGTTTTATAAGTTAAATGGTTTAAAATTCAAAATTTAGTAACACTAAATTTTAGTAGAACCACACCTCTAGATTTTGGTAAGAATGTCAAATCTATAAAACTAATAATAGAATCTTAAAATCTTAAAAATCATCCAAATCCAGTTTCCAGTAACACCCCAGTTTCCCAAAGTCAGTGAACGAAAAATAATAAGAAGCGAACCGACCCAACCAAAATTTTCGATTTCTATCCGGTTTTAATAATACAAACCGATCTCACTGACTTTCCAAAATGATTTCGGTTCTATTCAGACCTAACCCGAACTATGCCGCATATTCCCGGTATCTCCGTATCTAAGACGTTTGACCAAAATACCCTCCTCCTTCTCCAAGCAAGTTTTAGGGTTTCTCCTAAGACTTTTCCTTTTCCCCCTTTTCTCCCATGTCGATCTCTCCAATCTCAATCCCCTCCAATTCACGTGACCTGCCCTTCCAAATCCACCAATCCAACAGCGATGAATATTGATGCCAGAGTCTCCGTGGCGGCGGTGGACGGAGCACAGAGTGCTCTCAATTCCGCCACCGCCGTGCGTACCACCGTCGTAGAGGCCGGAGCCTTAACTTTAACACAGAAACAGCCGCCGCAGCCTCGATTCGGAACCGTTGAGAATCTCCTCGCCGGAGGTATCGCCGGCGCTTTCAGCAAGACGTGTACTGCTCCTCTAGCTCGCCTCACTATATTGTTTCAGGTCTTTGTTTGAGATAAAGTTTCTCTCTTTCCGCTTTGTTTCTTATCAAAGAGTAATGGGTTGTTTGAGCTTTGTTGTCTTTAAGCTTTTTGTTGTCTCTTTTTTTCAGCTGCAAGGAATGCAAACAGAAGCTGCTGTGTTGAGTAAGCCGAGTTTGTGGCGTGAGGCTTCTCGTATTGTTAATGAGGAAGGAGTTCGAGCTTTTTGGAAAGGGAATATGGTTACTGTAGCTCACAGGCTTCCTTATTCGGCTTTGAACTTCTATGCTTATGAGAAGTATAATAAAGTGAGTTTGTGTTTAATGTCTTTTTGGATTGGTTTGTCATTACTTACACAATGCTGTTTTGGTTTTGTAGTTTTTCTATTCGAATCCGATCATACAGAGTTATTTAGGGAGTGGGAATAGCAGCCCGTGTGTGCACTTTGTTAGTGGTGGCTTGGCTGGGATAACAGCTGCTTCAGCTACTTATCCTCTTGATCTTGTTAGGACACGTCTTGCTGCACAGGTTTTGGAAACTTTATTCTTATCTTGATCTGAGTTGTGTCTCTTTGTCTGTCCGTGGTCTGAATGCGTTACGCGTTTGTTCCTTTTTCAGAGAAGTACAATGTATTACCAGGGTATTGGGCATGCTTTCCGTACCATATGCAGAGAAGAGGGGTTTTTGGGTTTGTATAAAGGACTTGGTGCCACTATGTTGGTACGTTTTGTTTGCTTTCCTTTGTTCTCTTGTGTCATATGCTAAGTGTGTTTGATTGTTAACTGCTTCTTGGTACGTTTTTTTTTTTTTTTTTTAATTCAGGGTGTTGGGCCAACCCTTGCAATCAACTTTGCTTCGTATGAGTCTTTGAAATCATTTTGGATATCTCATAGGTAAAAAAAAAACTCATCTTCAATTAGTTTTTTGTGTTCCTCCGGATGCTAACTCGTTATATATATCTGACTGTTTACTTCAGGCCAAATGATTCACCATTGATTATTAGTCTAGGTTGTGGAAGTCTAGCTGGAGTTGCTTCTTCAACAGGTTTGTTATTCGATTCTGACCTTCTCTCTATCTACAAAACACTAAACCACCAATGATATCAGCTTTGTTCCTAGAAACATATACTTGCAACTTACTATATGCACATTAGTTGACTAATTTTCCATGCTTGTAATGTTGTAGCTACGTTCCCATTGGATCTTGTGAGAAGAAGAAAGCAAGTAGAAGGAGCTGGTGGAAGAGCGAAAGTGTACAACACAGGACTTTTCGGAACATTCAAACACATATTCAAATCGGAAGGCATCAGAGGGTTGTACAGAGGATTATTGCCTGAATATTACAAAGTGGTACCAGGCGTTGGTATCACCTTCATGGTATACGAGAGTTTGAAAACCCTCTTATGTCCTCCTCCCCCTTAGAGAAGTCTTAGTATCTTACCTGCTTTATTAGGAGAAGAAAGATATTTGTTCAAAAAAAAAAAAAGGAGAAGAAAGATAACATCATTTTTGTTTCCTCTGCCCCATCTTATCAACCCCCGTTTGGTAGTAAATTTTACTCTTCTTACTACTGCCGTGGAGTGTGTATAAGCTTGAGTTGCATTTGGGTGTTTGTTAACATTCAAATGCATCATCCTTTACACTGTCTTTCCCACGCGAGCAATCTCCTGACAGTTTTGTATTGTTCTTGTCTGTTTCTTTAATTTAAAATATTTCACACTTTATATACACAGTAAGTTTTGTTTTTTGCTATATGCTACGATTTGTATTTGTAACAATAACAAGATTGCTTCGAGAAATTAATTTTACTAAACGAAACCTTGAAAGTTTGTTTACCATTACACTCAAGAACATCTTGAAAATTTGTCAATCTCCCTAACAAAAAGATGTTAAAACACTCAACAACTCAAATCCACTTAGAAATGTCTCACTAAGAACTCAAAAACACTAAGATCTCTAAAGTCTAAACCTATCTTTGATGAAAAGCATTCATAATTAATACCACAAGAAGGTAAACTAGGCAGAGGTTCTGAGCAAGAAGATACTGAGTTCTTGAGCCGAGTTAGCATCCGGGTTAATGAGATGAAACGACTCCGAGTCAGAGCTACCAACAACATGCTCATAGTTAGCCCTCATATACATAACCTCATCAAGATCCGCTTCACCCGACCCGGAACCAGACGGCAACACCCCCGCACCAACAGTCATCGACTCCAACTTCTTCAACACCCCTCTCGTCTCCTCATTAGCGCTCCTCCTCACAGCAAACCCTAACTTCCTCCCGTTGCAAAACATAGTCCAAACGGGAACAGATCTCAGGAGACAAGACTTCAACTCGGGTCGGGTCGGACACTCCAGAGCCACGCGAACAAGACCCGAACCCATCTCGTGAACTAGCTGGCTCGTCGCGATGGAGAGCTCGAGGAGGAGGAGAGGTTTCACGGAGAGACGGTCGTGCTGGACACAGAACCAGACGTGTCCCTTTCTTTTGCCGTAAAGCGTGCCGATCACCATGGTCTTGGAGGGTCTCGCCGGCTGCGTGACGGCGGGGAGGTAGTCGGAGTCGGAGTCAGCGGCGGAGAAGAAGGATGTGGCCTCGGAGGAAGAGGCGGAGGAAGATGCGGAGTCTTGGACGTCGATGTCGTCTCTGAGGGAAGTGCTGAGACGTTTCTTGGAGACTGGTCCGGTGGATGGCGACGCGGTGGTGGTGGGATTCGGAGGAGGTGAGACGCATGGGAGGAGGTAACGACGGAGAACGTCGAGTTTCGTCATTCTTCTTTCTTCTCTCTCTTGAAAAGGGTCAAAGAGAGCTTTCAGAGTTGTGCAGAGATAAGTCTCTGTTTCTTTGTTTTGTGCTTTTTATAAAGAAAGGCGGGAGACAAGATAATATCCGTTGTGGCTTTGACTGGTTTGACTGTGATTCCACGTGGATTTTTGTTTAGTTGCCACGTGGAAAGTGAGGAAAAGATTCTATTACGATGATGATACGAAAGCTTTATTGGGTAGGAATGGGCTTTCTCGTTGGCACATTTAAACCCAATATTTAATAACGTGAATTCAATTTTTGTTTTATTGCTATGAGTTTTAAACCGTACTGTTGTTGTCTGCACCACTTCATTCACTGCTTAACGTTCGAAATTGATAGTAAAGGAGTTGTGTGTTGTGTGGATTTCAAGAAAATTGGTCACTAATGTTTGTGTTTCACTTTGAAAAGGACAATATAATTGATTAAATAACATAATTTAATATGAAAATTACTAAAAACAATTCAGATAATTAAAAAAACGAGAAAGCACATTCATTAGTATGGGAGAGATTCTTTAGTGACAATGAGTGATGATAGCATAAACAATGTGTTGAGTTTCAAATTTCGGTCTTGATAGTATTGCCGGCTATGATATTCATTGTGGGTTTCGAATATCTTTGATCAAAACTATGTAAACTATTATTGTATTTCAAAAATAATTTAAGATTTGTTTAATACTTTGAGAAAATAAAATATAACAACAAAATAAAATCCTAAACTAATATATATAAAGAACCGATAATAGAAAAAAATTAAATAAGTTTGAATCAATTTTCATTTTTTTCCGTTTGTTATTAATATTGTCTAAAACAATAACAGTACTTCTTTGTATTTTATTTGACCGTATTTATTATGTTTGTGTATCATAAAAGCACAACAAACCAGATGTCACAACATTAGACAAAGTGAAAAAGAAAACCACTTTATTCTCATAGAGAAAATGACTAAAATATAAATAAAAAGTTTTTATCACAAATATAAACTTTAATAATTAAAATGATCAAAATAACACTTAAATGTTTTATTAAATATATATTTATACCTTTTGGTTATTAATCATAGACTTTTTTGTTTAGAGTTAAGGAGTGGAATTTTAGGATATGATTTTGAATTTAAAAAAAATTAAAAAAACTTAAAATTTTCAAAATAAAAAATGCTATTTTGGTCATTTTAATTTTTGAGGTCTATTTTTATGATAAAAACTTAAAAGATGGTTATTTGAGAGAATTGTCCTTATTCATATTGCAATAAATAATGCATATATTCATATATAGTCCAACAACATAGATTATTAAGGTATACATAGATCACATTTCTCCTCTACAAAGGTAAGTGAAAACATTTATTTTAAAATCTCAAGAACATGTCATCTTTTTGATCTTAAAAGATCCAAACCGAGGTTGACTCTTCATGGAACAATGTAACCTGTAAAACCACATAAAGACATTTAAAAGGTAAGTCAAGAAGTTCATATATTATCATTACTTTACTTATGACTTTATGAGGTTTAGAAGAATCGAATCCATACGTCCACATCGCTTGCCAGCTGGGCGGTTGCGGATGTTACAACGTTTGGGAATAGCGATTGCGATTCCAGGGTTGATACCAGCGTTCTTGGCCAAAGGAGAGAGCATGACAGCACAAAGACAACGAGGGTTGGTTCTAATGAGAGCACCTACTTTGGCACAGCAAACAGGTGGAACCTTACCCCTCGGGTTCTTTGTTGCAGCTAAACACGGGCTTAGGCTAGCCGCGGCTTGACCAATGGGCATGCGACCACACTCACCAGCTGCTTCGATGGAAGCCAATGTGATTAGAAGACTCATCAAAGCCACTGCAATGAACTTACAACACTTCATTCTTCTATCTTGTTTTGTTTTGTTTGTTGTAAACTTGGTGTGTTGATGATTCTTATATATAGTAAGATGTTTAGTGGGGTGGTTGTGTTTTAGTGACGTGTAACGTTTATAATGGATCTTTAAACCCTTTCCCATTATGTAATCATTTGTTTCTTTGATTTAGATTTCACCATCTGTTTTGTGTCTAAGTCGTTTGTCTCTTGCGTCTTTGGATTTGCCTCTCTTTTCTTCCCCCCTTCATTAATGATGTTTTCCACCATCTTGCTCTCTCTAGAAACATTTCACTTTAATCTATAGAACATGTTACAACACTCATCACCACTGATCAAAATACAAAATACAAAAGAATAAGAATACATGTGATTTTGATGTACAAATACATACATATTTGTCTTTTAGGACTGCAGATGTTTTAACACTTGAGCTTCTATAGAACATGTATATACACTAATTGATTGGTCTATTATTTAGACTTGAATTGTTTAATCAAAACTTACTCCACCGAGCTTTCCAAGATCAAGGGCAGCTTCAAATATCGTCTACATTGCATCAGGCACCATTGTATTTCCTACAACCATGTAGATGAAAAGCTTTTTCAAGATCATGAATACCACAAGAACAGAGCATACGTGTTTTCTCTTTTAGAAAGAGAAAAAAAAAAACAGGTTCGATTCTCTTGGCAAGTTCTTCAGCAAAAACATTTTTTCAGAGAACTGATTCTTGTCAGGCAGTTAGTTGATGACTGTCACGAATAACCTGTAAACCAGCCGCTGATACATTAAAAAGAGCAGTTCAAGATTAAGAACATGATGATGGGTCTAAGTTATAAGCCTTCAATTCTGATTTTACGGTTCAAAAAAAAAAAAGATTAAGAACATGACTCTTAATCAACAAAAAGAAAGAAACAGGGAGAGTAACATGCCCTAGAGTTCACCTAACTGAGGCATGAAATGCTTAGCAGTAGGTAGCTTCAGAGACACATCCATGACTCTGGATTTTCACAGACAAGACAAAATCACCTCCTTTGTAATACTCTAACACCGTACCAAATGTACTTTCCTAAGAGACTTACATCAATAGACATTCAACAAGCGTCAAGCTCAATTCAGAAACAGAGTAACGGCAAAAAAAAAAAACATAACCTTTAAGCTGAAAGGATTGAACTTTGGATGTGTAACCTCGATCACGGCGAGCAAAATGAGACTATCCTGAGCTTCTTGTGTTGTATTGTAACCCATAAAAATCAAAAAAGACACAGCATTTTAATTATATATTATATATATAATATAATTAATTTATATTTATCTTCATATATGTACATTTATAAGGTGTCTTAAAATTTATTATTTTGTTATTTTATTGAATTGTATTATATTTTGCAATGTTCCCTTTCAAAGGGGAGGACGTAGGTGAAGACATACAGGGACACTAAAGACAGTATAGGCCTAAAATGTGGTGACGAGGCCCAAGCCAAGTCAACAGAGCTCAAGCCCATAATGTCTCCTTCTGCAACGGTCAAGAGGAGTATTGCAGAAACGACAAAAGCTTCAACAAAGTGTGCTCATGGTACGGCTCACACAACTCACACGGCAATGACGACAAATAGATTTACACCTCTTAGGTCATGCGCTGTCGTTTGTTAACTTGAGTGGCTCCTAGGTTAAATGTCGTGTATATAAACCCATCTTAAGGGAACTTTGTAAGCAGCCGAAATAATAAGAAAGTTTATGTTTTGAGCTCTTCTTCTCTGTTCTTCAGACACGTGCCCCAGTCTCTTTTTAATTTTTCTTTCATAATTTATTCAATTCATGCAATGCTCCTCTAATCCTACAACTAACTATGATGAAATAAATTTATGTGCCCTCGTCTAATGGACTCCTACGTCGGCCACTGCTTTCAAAACTATTTTTTATTAGTTTATTATATTTATGGACCACTAAATTGTAGAGTGTTTATATACTGACGAAAGTGTTATTCTATATACACATACTTTTGTCAAATATATACGCATTTTATCTGAGGTTTGAATATATATATTTATATTTCTTAGTAAAAATGTTGGTGATTACGTGCGTGCACATTTCTTCTCATGTTCAAGACTGTGTGCCGACGATTGAACATATAAACCAATTGGAATTTAAGTCCAGCTGACCCTGTCAAACCGTCATGCATTTATTTTTCAAAGCTAGAACGCAAGCAAGCAACTTCTTCTTCTCAAGTTTTACCCGTAATGAAAGACCATTGACTATAGAATAATCAAAGTCTAAGTCTGTATAAACTTAAACACGTTATCTGTCCGCAGCAAACAAACTATATATATACACATGTCTAGGATAATTATATGCGCCGATTTTGCTTAGGATGGAGACGTTTGTAATTGTCATCATAGCTTTCGCTTCTATTTTTGCTGTTTTTATATTTCTTGTGGTTTTGACTGGATGTGGAGGTGGTGGCGACGGAGGTGGAGGTGGAGGTGGAGGTGGAGGTGGAGGAGGAGAAGGAGGTGATGGGGGAGGAGAGGATGGCGGCGGCGGGGATGTGGAGCTGGGTAATGGAGGTGGCTTTGGAGGAGATGGAGGTTTAACAGGTGGTTCTGATTTTGGTGGCCATGGAGGGTTTTGGAGTCATGGGGGCGGAGGTGATGGAGGTTTTGGCGGTGGAGGTGGTGGTGGTGGAGGTTTAGGAGGCGGCGGCGGTGGTGATGGAGGTGGGGGTGGTGGCGGAGGTGGAGGTGGAGGTGGAGGAGGTTGCTGAGCTTGTGTTAGTTTCCTATCTATTTTCAAAAGTTGATGTAAGTAAAATTGCTATTGCTTTTTTTTTTTTTTTCTGGACAAAGTAAAATTGCTATTGCTAAGCATACAAAATTTAGTAGTGTGTAATAGATTTTTTGATTATTTATGTATATATATTACAATTATTTGTAGTTCTTGTGACGTCAGTTTGATGTCTTATTTAACAACATAGCTATATACAAGTTCTTTTTGCAAACAAAGATAATTAGAAACTATTAAACTTATCTTTCCCTCTATATTTTCCATGATTATTGATAACCAAAGTTAATCACAGTCTAATCTTGTTGATGAACTGCTGAGGAACTTCAGCGCAAGCGTGCATCAGTGAAAATACAATGACCATATACATCGATGTAAGAATGAGAAATGAAACATCAATTTTTACATGTGAGAGTCATTTAATATAATAGTAAGGAAAAAAATTATAATAGTAAGAAGTATAGCCAAATGATCCTTATCTCTACAAGTTAAAATACTCTTCTCATGTTTGGATTTGGTCAAAACCGTCTGAGTATGTTTGTTTAATTTGAACGTAAAACCCATTCATTAGAATTCAAGCCAGTCGACCGAGTCAATGCATCTAAATCCTTACTAGACATATAAAAATATATATAACACTACTTGTAATCATTATACATAGTTTTAGTAAGAGATTGATCATAGTTAGCAATTTGGCATCAACAACTTCGGGCATTTAATACATATATGAACCTTTCAAGTTTCAATACGTAAAACATGTCAAACATTTTAATAATAGAGAGCGACTTTGAACATGTCAACCATATTAATAATAGAGCTTAGCCGCACGTAATCTGAACCTTTCAATACGTAAGCGTATGAAGAATGATCATAAAAGTCAAAGTTAGCTCATCTTTTTGAAATATGAATATACTGGATGGTAATGCTCGTTAGCCTCGTTTCATAATTTCCAACTAGCGAATAATACGGTCATAAGACCACCGGTTTGGCCGGCAAATCTCCCGGAAAATTAAAAAAAAAACAGACTCTATATTCTGTTTAAAAACAGAGCAAGGAGAAGATAGGTGGAGAGGATGAAGTGTTCATTGGAGACACTCGAGCTGCCATTGCCCCTGCTACAAAAAAAAAACATCATGGATAAATAAAACCTGGCGATATATTTTGAGTTCCGTTCCAAAAACATCATGGATGAATAATCCGGTTCATGTATGAGCCTAGCCAAAATAAAATCTAACACCATCTATCTGAGTAAAATTTGCAACCAAAACTTGCTCTAAACAAATTTTACTATCATCTAGGGATGAACCCACTACCTTTGCTTGGTCATAATCGTTCCTCAGCTGCACACGTAGCTTACGTATCAGCCTGTATGTTTATGCATTCTCAGTGTTCAGTTGCAGAGTGAGGAGATATATATCTAGCTTCCATAGGAAGGAGTTGGATTCAAGGAAAGACTGGATGCTGACTATCATATTTTCCTGATAGGCCACCTGAAAAAGTATTAACAGCAACACAAGATCAAAGGAGGAACTGAGATTAGGATATTATGTTTTGCAAATTTACCATCCTATCTAGAGTCTGGCTGATGTTCTGCAAATTCTGTAGGATATTATGCCCCATTTCACTCTCGTTGAACACATTATCTTTCAGCCAGTCTTTAAAGTTCGTGATCTTGTCGTCAAAACACTTGTCCAATACTCTGATCTGCAACAACACAACACAACCCAACAGTTATATATTGTATCTAAAACAAACTCTGCTTATCAGACTGATCTGCAACATTACTGTGTATTTTTTCTGAATGTGACTTCTCTTTTTGTATAATATTCAATATTTTTTTCTGCTCAGAACACAGTTTACAGTTTAGTTATATTTTATCTAAAACAATCATTGCTTCAAGTATGTTCACCATATCATTCTCTGACTGTGATTCTAGAATGTCTAGCAATTTGCTCTCGTTCAACACATTGTCTTTCAACTTCATGGTCTTGAGCGCATTCGGCAGCATAACGCTCATAACCCTTTAAAGCGATCTTATCCCCTACAAAACTGGTAATCTTGTCATATAGATGCTTTATTTCTGCATTGCGAAAAATCTTCTTTTCAACATCTTCCATTTCCTTTATAGTAAAGAAACGGTTTAAGTACCCTCTCAAACGACCACAAAGTGCTTCAGAAGCTGAGTCAGGCAGCTCAGGAAAATGCAATTACAGTACAAAATCTGACGCCTTCTCAGCATCGTTCTTCATTGTGATATTTATCTAACAAAACAGATTATTACATTGATAATCAGCACTAAACATCAATAATCATCATCATTACACATCTGATTATTACATTGATAATCAGCACATAGAACAATTCAAATCAACGAGCATGTCTATAATCAGCGGTTATAGAGAGTATTATCGATTCTATAAAACAATTCAAATCAACCAGCATCCATTACACATCTATCGATTACACATAGTAGAATATATTCCATAGAACAATTCAAATCAACGAGCATATTACACTAATCATCGGTTACATAGAGTATAATCGATTTCTTAGAACCATTCAAATCAACGAGCATCTATTACACATAGTATAATCGATTCCAGAGAACAATTCAAATCAACGAGCATAATCATCTATTCAAAATACGAACATGCTTACATTAGGATCGTAAGATCTATAATCGATTATCACTATCTGCTTACCTTTTATAAAGCAAAACCATATTCACCTCAAAGAAAAGGATACACGTCAGTTCAAAAAAAAGAAAAGGATACACGTTAGTGTGTATAGCATGTATATAATATATGGATTACTATATAACTACTGCTGATTCACAAGAATATATATAATAATACAATAGATTTTATTTTCCTGTTATATGAATGATATACAAATAATGCAAAAATTAAAACACTAATATACGTTATTTGCGGGTAGCCACTTGAAACAAGCAAACATAAAAGATTTTAGATCAGTCAGCTAACTCTTACTAAAATCCAAAGTAAGAGATCTTTCTCCAATCTTTTTTTTTTTTTTTGCAAAGGAGAGATTTGTTCCACTAAAATTCATCTTTGTAAGAGGTAACCTTATCCCAGTATTCAAAACCAGGAAAATTTACCAATTTCTTAAGTGTTTGCTATCTTTTGTGATAGTGCACTTGAGATCGGTGGATGCAATAATTTTCTTTCGATGAGAGTTGAGGTTTTGGATGGTGTTGCTACTTCTTATTTGAAGATTTGGAAGTGTGGTTTTAGATCTTTATTAGATTGTACTACAAGTGGTAATTTCAATATCTTTCATAAAATTTTATCAAACTTCTTAAAGTTTGTGTCTCTATCCTTATTTATCCTTAAACTTTATGTCGGAGTTTTGGCGGGTCGCACATTGTGGTTTGTACGATGTTGCTATTAGTTTTGTGATCGTATTAATGAAGACATTGTGCACAGAAAAACAAAAACAAAACGTCCATATAGTTTTATACAATTAAAAGTCCCTCGAAATAAACACATCAACGCCACGGAACAACCCTTCGGTTAAAATGCCACGCTTATTTAGAGAGTTAATCTTCCCATCCCGATTATAACATCTGCAGGTTAATTAATTAACGATGTTGTAATAGCAAAAGTCAAGCATATAATTTCTCACGAGTAAACCACACCATTCATATAGTTTTTATACAGTTAAAAGTTTCTTGAAATAAACACATCAAAGCCACGAGACCACCCTTTGGTTAAAATCCCACGCTTAGAGAATAAATCTCCCCACCCCGATTATTACATCAGGTTTATTCGACCAGTCCAAGCACTCATAAAAAATATCAGAAACTAAGCCTAGCCATGTAGTAATCACAAAGTCACGAACCCTTTCCCTCACGCGCATCTTCAGGTTCCCTTAGGAGCGCGTTAGCATCATGTCACGACCCGGCGATGAACAGGTGACTGGCCTCCAGTAAACGTAGTGGTCGTGGTTGTGGTCTTTGACGACGCCATATTGGAAGAAGATCCATGACCCGACACTTCGATATCGGATATCTCGAACCGGCCTGAATCTCCCGGTAGACGTACGTAGTAAGAAGAAGAAAGCGACGAGTCGTCGCCATAACGGATTTGCATGAAGGCTCTGTAAACAAACGGTATGAGACCCTCCATGTTATTCCTAATAACAGCCCAAGTGACAGAACCGTTTGGTCTTATAGGAAGATAGGAATTGCCACGTGGTATTTCTTGATTATGTTGCTCTAACCACACGTTTTCATACGTCATTGAGTTGTTATGTGATATTGAAGGTTAATAAGAGAAGCAACCTTTGAATGTGAAATTCAGCTACAGGAACAATCTGAAAGCTACATTCGACCTGATATGAAACCACGGCTGATCCAATTGATTTATCTTCAAAGGATAAATTAATTAAAGATATATAACTTTATCCATACCCAATTCTAAGTAGTATAATGTTTTGCAGCTAGACAGCTGGAGAGTTGTAAATATTTATTTCTTGAACACTTACTAATGATTTGTTGACTGAATACTTTTTAAATGATGTTATTTAAGTCTGCTATACTTCCCCCCCTAATATTAGTTTTTACGATACTTGGACAAAACAATATCTGTTATGTTTATATTTATAGGGTTTTTAGAAACACTGAAACAAAAATGATATGTACACTAAGAACTATGTTGTATACTTCTAATTAAAATATTGGCTTATTTTTTGGTTAAATTCTCCGAGGACACATGAGTTATTTTCTTTTTTAAAGTGTCTTACATTTTATAAAATCTCCAGATAATGGAAAATATCAAAATATGTTTTTTAAGATGACGGATGTGTTTGGCTTGTTATAGTAAAGAATGTGCGTTGTCAATAGAATAGTTGTATGATATGTGGGGTAACTATATACAGCCCATTATTTTCTTACGAAGTTTCGGCCACTTTATTTGGTAAAGTTTAATATAGCCCGCTGTTATTAGTTATTGAAGAACTAAGTAATCCATTGGCAATGAAGATGTTTCAGTTTGATTGACTATTATTGTGGTTCAATGTTTATCTTTGATCTGAATGATGACTCTGATTATATCCTATAATTCTCAATTTGACTAATCCTAAAGACTTTTAGGTTAACAATAAAATTCTACTAATACACGCCGAAGGTATTTTATATAATACTAGTATATAACAAAATATGATCTAGAATTTGGTAGACAAATTTGAAAACGTGTGTCAATATCTTAATTGTTACTAGTGAAGATTACATGTCTATCACAGGTAGTTTCATGTCAACGATATAATGGTTAATCCGGAATCTATATGCCACTTGACATTCTTTTGTTCGTTTACATTTACTCGTGTGAGCGTTAAGTCTATATTATGGGCCTTGACTGGTAAAGCCCAAAATCTGGTTTGGTCCTTTTGAGTGATTTCATTTCACGTCTTATGCCAAAAACTACAATTAATAAATAAATTTAACACATTATTTACAAAAAAAATCGCATAAAAAAATCTATAAAACAACATTCACTATCATTTTAAACCCTAAACTTATTTAACTAGCATATTAAACCTTCAACTTGGTTTTTATATCACAAAAAACCTTCAACCTGATTTAGTTATTTATCAAGTTAAATTTGTTACTTGTTGACCTGCAATAGCAGGTGATGAGTTATTTTTTTTTATTTTTTTATTAATAAATATATATAATTAATAAGAAACAACAAAAAAACTTGAATAAAATTTAAAAATACTGAATTTTTAAAAATTGAATTTAATAAAAATCAAAATAGTTCCGTAAAATTTGAAGTTTTTTTAAATAAAATTTTTGCAAACAATATTTTTTATAAAAAATATAGAAAATTTCAAAAATCTTAATTTTAAAAAATCAAAATATTTTCTTAAGTATTTAAAAGTGTCATTATCGATATAACCAAAATATTACCCTTAATGATGACATGACAAAGAGTATTCATGTTAATGGTGATAATATTTAAAATTATTTAATTTTTGTTAAATTTCATAAAATAAAATATGAAGTTTCTTAAAATAAAAGTTTTGCAAAAAAACATTTTTTTTTTAAATACAGAAATTTTCAAGAATCTTAATTTAAATAATCAAAATATTTTCTTAAGTATTTAAAAGTGTCATTATTCTCATTAATGACAAAGAGTGTTCGTGTTAATGATAATAATGTTTAATATTATTTAATTTTTGTGAGAATATTTTATAGCTTTTATATATGTTAAATTTTTTTTTTCAAAACTTACAATTTTAAAACTTTAAAAATTTCAGAAAATAATTTGATTTTATTGAATTCAATTTTAGATATTTTCTGTAACTTCTTAATATCATTTAGGTTTTTATTGTTATTTATTGTTAATAAAAAAAAGTTAACCCATTACTTACTATTGCACATTAACAGGTCATAATTTTAACTTGATGAACAAGTAAGCCAAGTTGAAAAATTTTTATGATACAAAAGTCAAATTGAAGGTTTAATATGCTAGTTAAATAAGTTCAAAGTTTAAAGTGTGGTGTTAGTGAGTGCCACTTTTAAGATTTTTATGAGATTTTCCCCATTATTTACCTAGTGAAAATATAACACACTATTGTTTTATTAAATTTTATGAATTTCACACTTGGGTGAAAATACAACACCTTACTTTTCTAGATGTACCTTCAAAATTTTATTCATTTTAGTATATATTATGTTTTATAGCTATATATACTAATTGATATCTAACACATTAATATATAGAAACCTAAGAAAAGTTCACATCCATTTACTAAGAAATTATAAAATATTTGATAAAATAAATACATATATATAGGATATATCATAAGAAAATATTACACATTATAACACATTCCTTTGATTGAAACCATATTAAAATGCCCTGTTAAAGTGAATCTGATATATATATATATAAACAGTTTGTGAAAGAATAAGAAGGCAGAATTGTCCTAAACTGTAACTTCGCTGGGCAATATACCGTATTACCTTTTATTTATATTAATCAACGCATTGTCGTTTGTTATAGAGTGCAAAATTCCCCTATTAATTGTTTCCTATGTCGAGGTCACCTAGTTAAGTTTTTTTTTTATAAAACATAAACTATACTAAACTCAAGAAAACCATACACCTTGTGTAAAGCGTGTGTATAATATACGGATTATTGTAACTACTGTTGATTCACAAGATAGATATACTGCAATAAATTTTTCTTTTCCTATATATATATATGAATGATTTTCTTAGCAAAAAAGTTATATGAATGATACACTAAATCTAAAATAATGGAAAAAGATAAAACACACTATACGTTATTTGTGTGTAGCCACTTGGAACAAGCAAACATATAATATTTTAGATCAGTCAGCCAACTCTTACTAGAATCCGAAGTTCGCATCATCTGTCTTCACAAAATCCCTAAGATACGATTAATCAAATATATTAAACTACAACTCATTGATCGTTTAAGATACTCCACTCGTTTAATTTGGTTTAAATTTTAATTGTAACAATTGACCTCCATTATTGTCATTACACCATATCTTCATCTTTTTCCGTAATCGACCACCTAATATTAATCATCTAGGGTTCCTAACCACCAAAATACTATAGGAAGAAAAAAATTTCTTCTAGGGTTTTCCGTGAACTTCCCTCTCAAATGGAGAAATCTGGTGGCCTCTTGATCCCCAAGAAAGGCTACAAAGAATCATCATGGGAAGAGCTAGCCTTCGCGGAAGACGATGCCGCCGGATCTTTGTGGCCGCCAAGATCTTACGCATGTAGCTTTTGCCGGAGAGAGTTTAGATCAGCTCAAGCCCTCGGTGGCCACATGAACGTTCACCGAAGAGACAGAGCACGGCTTAAGCAATCTGACGATCAATACTTATTATCTAAGTCTTCTTCACCTCCTGAGCATCCATCTCACAAAAATAGCGAAACCTCTTGCTATACTTTGGTTTTTAACTCCAATCCAAATCGTGTTAAGTCTCAAAACTCATGTGTTATTGATCATTCATCTTCACCTTCTTCTTTACCATATTTACCTCCTAGGGTTTCTTCCTCTTCTCCTTCTTTTGTTGTAAAATCTTCAGATGATTCTGAAAATATTCTCTCTTCTTTGCCATGGTCGTGCCCCGGTAGTTTTGTGAAGAAAAAGGGTTGTGATCTTTATGAAACTCCGGTTATAGAAGGAAGCAAGAAGAGAAAGATGGTGAGAGATGTGCAAAAGAACGAGGATAAAGCAAAAGTTGATATAGTAAACACCACTGATCTCTCACTGAGAATGAATCTGGTGATCCACGAGGGTTATCCGATTACTGCTCAAGGGAGTGATGAAGAGATGGAAAGGGGTGATATCCTCAAGAGAAGACGAATCCGCGAGAGATCGCAGCCGTCGATTTTCATTTCAAGAAACGAGGAGATCATACATAAGGGTGGTCACTTTGAGGATTTAGATCTTGAGCTTAGGCTAGGGGCTGATCCACCAAAGGGAAACTGATTGATGGATATCATCCAAAAAAATAAAAAGGTAGGGAAAAAAGTTATATACAAAATACAAAATTTGTATGGGAATATGTATATCTGTGTAACTGTGTTACTTGGGTTTAATCTTTCATTGGGGTTGCATTGTCTAAGATGTATTGATATATACTGATTTTGGAGAGTTTCTTTCTGTTATTTTGAGAAATTGTATGAAAATAGCAGTTCAATGAAATAAAAAATATATTAAATGGAGTATATCACGTAATATCAAGAATGTAAAGCACTTGAGGCTTGTATATTTATACTACTTTCTCCTACTTAAAATATTTCGGTAGCATTTCTCATAGTTATTGGCAGCATAAATCATATCATAATTACAATTCAAGATAATTCTCTCGCCAGTGAATCATTCACGATGCTTATAACACACCAAAATATCATTCATTTATCAGAAAATATATCAATGAGAGATATCAATTCACAGAAGATTGGTTAACGGGGTCAGCTGATGGGCCAATTAAGTTATAGTTCAGTTTTTTGTTGGTAAAGTTTCAGTTATGATAAGTTAATTATATGAAATCAACATATAGGAGCCCTGCGTCCGAGACCTTGTGTTCAAGTGGAAAGAGAAATGGCTTAGACGTGAACATGTTTCAAATTCGTTCCTACCATGTTGCATGAACCTAAATTACAATGCTCATAGATACCTATATTGGTATCCGGAGAGATGATCTATACGTGGATTGCATTTTCCTTTAAAATTTAGTCTAAATTCCTCCATAGATCATATCCCACGTTGATAAAAAAACACAGGAGCCATGCATCTATTATATAGATGCGTTCATATATATGTCTTGAATGAAAAATGTGAACATTTGTGTAACCACGATCTAAACTTAACTCACATGATGAAGGAATATTTCTGTCACGGTTTCAGAGAGGGACAGAGAATGATGAATAATTGTCCCATAGATCTTAGTTGCCTATTCTATTAATTTAGGGTTTCCGTTGGCTCTAATGTAAATATGCACTTTATTTATTATTTTGCGTGTATTTTGGATTTTCTGATAAAAATAATTATTCGGCTCATATATTCATTCCATTACTCGCTCATAAAGAAAATAATATATATGCGCAACTGAAAAGTTGATGTTATCCAGTTATCCTAATTCCTGCATCAACTAACCATTAGAGTTGCGATAAAAAAAAAAGTAACTGAATCAATTAATTATGTAGCCACGGTAATCATGAATTATATGTTTAAACGTCGTAATTAGCTCGTTTCCACATAATTGCGCATCTCAGTCCATAACATGACATTCTGTCAAAATCATAAAAAAAAAAGCATAAGAAAGAGCACAAAAATCCAAATATGTCACAACACTTATTCCCTTTCGCTCGTCTTACTCAACAGATAATTAATAAAATCAAATTAAACTAATAAACTATCTGTCTCTGCCCTAACTTTTTAGCCCGTGGGTCATCTTCACTTAGGCATAAAGTATTTCATATATTTTAAAATATTGTTGTAATTTGTAAACACTATTTCTGTCAACCCCCCCATAATCATTGGAGAAATGGTAATATATAATTCTTCTAATAAGTAAAAGATTATCCGGATTTTTAAGTTTTAACATTCCACGATCGATCAGTTAGAAACTTATTAGATACACACTTTTGAGTTTACGTTTCTAAAACTATAACCAAATGGTCTTTTCTCTGTACTATACATTGCATAGGTGGAAGTGAAATCTTCGATTAGGGACAGATCTTTCACATGGGGAATGAATCTCTGTAACTCACATCGAATAGCTGAATTATTATTTCAAATATGACAAATTGACAATTCTCATATCTATATAATATGTGAAGAGAATTTTGGATTGTAAGAATTAGTGTCACGGAATTTTGGACGATTCTTATAGAATAATATAATACAGAATACGGTACTAATAGTCTCAAAACACAATTGTCATCAATTATTTATTATACAACATTTCCACATAGTCGAACCAAAAGTCGTGACACTTGAAAGTAATAATCACATTAATTAGTCCTTCATTTGAAGATATATGGTTGATTAAGAGTCCAATTATTTGAAATTCAATTTTCGTGTTCAATTATTTTACATATGTAATACATAAAATAAGACAATTCTATTCTTTCCTAGTTCCTTTTTTCAAAGCTTTATTTTGTATGATTACGAATAGAAATTGCAGCACGACCGGTAGTTGTCCACGAGTCCAGTCTCCATATATCTGTTCCAAATTAACAACTAGACTTTGAATAAAAACTAAAATATAATACACACAAGTACATATGTAAGCAAAAGTTCCACAGGGGATCCTGACAACAAGAAAAGGCCAAACAAATTTGGTTCGTCCGCTTTACCAATCTGGTGTATTTCATTTTATTCTCAATTATAAATCACAGTTGTCCACGAGTGAGATAATGTAAGAGTATACATAAAATACAAGTCTTTTGAGTTGTTAAAATGATAGTTCTCTCAACTTGGTTCATCTTATCCTGAATTAGTTTATTTTATAGAGTCTGCCTTAACTCAATTTATTTATTATATAAGTCTGTACCCGTTAATTCGAGCTTAGCTAATCATCTATCTAACCATAAGTAAAATAAGTTACCTCGTAAATTCATATAAAAATATAATATAAACGTTAAATTTTGAAACATTTTTATAAAAATCCTGGAATTTTAGTATCTATATAATAATAAATCCAAACAATTTATTACCTTATGCTAAACAAAATATGCATATACCAAATTATATATATATGTCGCTATATATTATATAACCTTACATACAATTTCATTCTATATTGCATATACATATTTTTCATATTGTATGTTTGAACCCAGTAACTCTTCTGAGACGTATCTGCTAACTTGTTGGTTTTCACATATCAAATTCTATAACATGTGGGGTATTAAGTAAATATAAATATGAAACTCCTAATTTCGCAGTTTATTATGCAGGGGAATTAAACAAAACGCACGGGCTAAAACTCAACAGGCCAACAAGTAAGCTGGGAGATTGATCTTACATGAAAAGTGTGATTGGATGTCACTTTAGAGTAAAAAGTTAAAGTGAAAAAATATTTATTCCTAGTTACTCTAATAACTAGGTGATTTTCCCGTGCTCATGCACGGGTATAATTATTTTTAAATTAAATATATAATAATAATTGATTATTATTTACTTTTAATTTTAAATTAATTTATAATTTGTATGCATCATTATATTAATAGTATTATATTACTTTACTTATACTGTAATTTTATATATGTTATATCTAGTCAATTTTGTTGTTTTACGGTTGGTTTAGTTACCATTTGGATAAATTCGATTGCATCGCTGAATTCAACTGTAATATTTTTAAAATATATTAATTTTTAATTAGTTACTTATTTGCATATGGTGGGTGTTGTCTTAGATATGTAAATATATTTTAGGAAAATTATGTATAACTTAAGATATATTGTGCTTAGAATGAATTAAAAATTAACTAAAGTGTCTGATTCCAAAATACATAAATTAATATAACGAAAATATTCTAAAGTCTCATGGATATATATAAATTTTACAAAAGAACTAAAATTGTAAGAGTTGGTTAGTATTTATTTTTATTTGTTAACATGTTTTGAGTTATCATATGATCAATAAAAGGTTACATGCATTTATAAATTCTAAATAACTTTATGCTTTAGATTTATTGAATTTAAACTGAAATTTATTTTAAATAATCTTAAATTGAGAATTCAGATTTGCTTTGATATTTTGATTATGGTTATATTTAGTTTCACAAACATAAAACATAAAATTTAAAACAATTAATATTAATAAAATAAATAATTTTTAAAATGATAAAATATCATATATCTAGCTCATTAGAACAATTATTTTGACCAAACTATGTTTATTGTTAAATTTATTTTTAGTTTTTAATCTCTTAAAAATAAGCACTACACAAAATTGTGATTGTATTTGAAAATAATATTATATAAGAAAAATATAAGTTCTAGATAATTTTCTGTAATTGAAAGACATTATAGTCAACTAAATATATGAAAAATAAATAAAAATCCAATAATACTAATTATAAACTATTTTATTACTCTAAAAGTATATTTTATGTTATTTAAAAATAATTTAAATTTATTATTACTATTTTGTGAACTTTCCTTTTTTATGAAATTATATTATATATACATATTTTTATGTTATTTAAAAATATTTTAAATGTATTATTACTATTTTGTCAACTTTCCTTTTTATGAAATCATATTATATACATATATTTTCGTTTTAAATTTGTTTTTTATGACTTTATAAAAAATGCTTTTTTATTACATATCTTTTTGGAAATTTTTGAAAAGAAAAAACTAAAAATAAAAGAATTAATAATACTATTTTCAACTCATTAAGGGTATCAATGTAATCAACCATCGTGAGAATGAACGTGAGAGCGACACATAGGAAACTTACTTCTCAAATAATATTATAGAGATTTTCCAATAAGGTAAAATACGTTTTAATTTAGAGTAAAAAGTTAAAGTGAAATATATTTATTCCTAGTTACTCTAACAATTTTTCCAATCAGGTAAAATACGTTTTTCTTTTATTTCCGACTATTACTATTTAACTAGAGGCTTATGTAAACGCATATTTACTTTCTTAGTTCATTTTTCTCTCTTTCCTATTTTTATTGTTCTTCCATTTTTCACCTAATTGTTTTGTTTTTATTTGCTCTAAATTACCCAAACCCAATCACACTCGAAGTCTCACCACCACCCTCAGCAGTCAGCACAATCACAACCGTGGCTCGTAATTTTGTGCCTCCTCTTTGTCATTAAACAATCCTTAACAAATTTTCAACCATTATTACTCAACCATGTGTGGCCCAAACAAATAAAAGAATTTTGGGGTCCATCATTTTATGTAGTTAACATAGGCCCATCACTCAGTGACCATATTACAAGAGTATTTGGGGCTCAATTAGAAAACAAAGAAATATACACAAGTGGTATTGAGATCTAGAAAGTTACTATGAAATACTTAAGAAATTTTATTAGATATTAGAAAGTTTTTTCTTATTTTTATAGAAGGTATTATCTTAACCACGATTCAAACATACTAAACCTGCTAAAAAAAAAAAAGAGAAGAAGCCTTAGCCGCGAGGGGGTAAAAAGAGATTTTTTTTGTGAGCCAGCACTGTTGGATTTTGGAGCAC